TACAGACACCCATATGTACATGCACACATTGCACACACAATAAAAAATTTAAAAAGAGATATGGGAAGATTCTACAGGGACATGGGCTTTGGTCTAGGGGGCAGAAGTATTGCTGAAGGTTATCAGTGCTAAAGACTGCCAAATCTAGCTTGACCTACCCCATAACAATTGGCCAGTGGCTACGTGGATCTAAGGACAAAGAATTTGGGGACTTTTATCAACAGATCTAGAAAAATCCATGGTAGGTTTTTGTAAAAGGCTGGTGTAGTGGTGTAAGACCAGAATTCGAGGACTTGAATGGCTTGAGGCAGGAGGATCATGAGTTCAAGTACAATCTGAGGTAAATAGTGAAGCCCTGACCCCCCAAAAGAGAGAAGACTTCTGTAAAGCTAATACAGAATGGTCTGGGCTCAGGCTGTAGAGATGGCTCAGTTGGCAAAGTGCATACCATGCAAGTGTGAGAACCTGGGTTCAATACTCAAAGACCATGTCAAAGAGCTGGGCACTTCAATTCCAGTGGCAGAGAAGAAGGCACAGGAGGTCCCCAGAGCTCACTGGCCAGCCAGCCTACCCAACTTGGCAAGCTCCAGTCAAGTAAAAGAACTTGTCTCTAGGCTGGAGAGATGGTTCAGCAGTTAAGAATACTGACTACTCTTGCAGAAGACCCAGGTTTGAATCCCAGCACCCATATGGTGGCTAACAATCATCCCTAATTGCAGTTCCAGAGCATCCAACAACCTCTTCTGTTCTTGACACAGGTGCACTGCCCTTAAAAAAAGAAAAAGCTGATGGAAGCACCTGGAGAGATGGTTCAGCAGTTAAGAGCTCTCGCTATTGCTGTTGTTCCAGAGGACCAGAGTTAGGTAGGTTCTTAGTGCCTACGTCAGGTGGATCACAACAGCTTGCAACTCCAGCTGTAGGGGATCTGACATTCTCTTCTGGTCTCCATGGGCACCTGCAGTCACCCACACACAGATACATATATATATACACTTAAAAATAAAAATTTAGGGGCTGGAGAGATGGCTCAGCAGTTGAGCTGAGAAGTTGAGCTTGCAGAAGACCTGGGTTCAAATCCCAGCACCCACATGGCAGCTAGCAACTGTCCTTAACTCCAGTTCCAGGGGATCTGATGGCCTCTTCTGTCCTCCACAGGCATTGTACAGCACTGGTGCACTTACCTGTATGCAGGCAATACATGCATACACAAAATAAAAAATAATAAATATTTTTAAAGTAAAATAAAATAAGAATGCATTCATTAAAGATGTGCCAAGGAAGGTCACTGGACCCTGACCTGAGTAACCAGCCACTCTTCCCAGCCAACTAGTCCAGCCTTGGAAGACAGAAGAAAAATGAGGAGCAACCATATAGAGGGATGTTTTTGGAAGCCCTTGTCAAGAAACTCCAATGGACTCTCATATGAACATTTGAAAATTTCCCTGTTCTGACTTTTTTCTAGTTCCCTGTCTAGAACTTGTAATGTTAATTACTCTTGCCTTTACTTCTCCTTCACATCTCCTATTCATGATTCAAGGACTTTCTTTTCCCCTTAGAGACAAGAGTTGTGCATTTGGGAGTCTTTTAGATAGACCCACTGAAGGGGTACTCCAGTTGTCTCACCCTGCATCCCTGCTCAGCATGGAAGAAGCCAGAGTGGTCTGTGTCCCTATTCCCTATTGGCAATTTGGGTAGCCCCTTCAGAGGATGGCTTGATAAGAATAGGAGGTAGGAATTAGCTAGGCAGTTAGGGTAAAAAGACCCCAAAGAAATTAGCCAGTTTCTGGGATAAAAGTCAAAATGTCCTTGGGCCTGTTAGCAACATACTCTGTTCCAAAGGCCAAAAATGTCAAAATTATTTGGGAGCTTGTAACTAATCCTTAAAAGATTTTAGGGTTACCTCTTTAGGGGGGGAATGTTGGAGGGGAGGGAGTGGGCATGGATTTGATCAAAATACCTTATATGCATGTATGAAATTCTCAACAAGCTTTTGTAAGTTAAAAAAATAAAAAATAAACAAAAATTTAAGTCTTTAAAAAATGATTATTAAAGATTGATCTCTGACCTCCACACGCATGTGTACACACATACATATGCACATCACAAACATACAAAATTTACCTTTGAGCCTCGACCTGTGTGTGTGTTGGCATATAGCTTCAACATGTTTTTGACAGAAAAAGATTGCATTTATACATGGACACCTATCTAATAAATCCTCCTTTAATATATGTTCATTTTATCAGTTCTGTTCCTCCAGAGAACCCTGATTAATGGTCTCCAGGAGAATGTTTTCTGTGCCTGGAGCAGATGAACTGCATTCTCAGGAGCTGCTGACCCAAGACTGATCCCTGAGCCATCAGAGCTATTGCTGCATGCTAGCCCATCCTGGCTCCAGCAGGTTTTATCATTAGCCATGAGGGTGTGATAGTCAGGCTGTGGAACTGGGGCTTCTTGTGCAGGGGAAGAAGATGGTATAAGTGACACTCACAGCCCATTGTTGCTTTAGACTAGGGCAGCCTGCATTTCTACCTCACAGGTGGGGCAGTTCATTAGGCAGCTTTGCATCCCTATAATGATATACCCAATATGGGCCACTTACGAAGTAACAGGGGTTGATTTGGGCCCTTGGTTCTGAGCATTCTAATCTAAGATTGGGAGGCTCCTCTGGGAAGGCACATACTCGCAGGAGCATGAGTTGGAGACTTGCTTGACAGTCAAAAATCAGTTTTCCGGGAAGCACATGCTCTGCCTGAATGAAGTCATAGATTTAATCCCCATACCAAACACCATTACTCCTAACTACTGCAATAAAATTTCACATGTGATCCACACTTTATTACCTGCATTTGTCTGTAAGTGTGTGAGTGTACATGTGCCACAGCGTGCATGTAATGGTCAGAGGGCAACTTGCAGGAATCGGTTCTCTCCTTCCACCACGTGGATCTGAGGGATCAAACTCAGGTCTGCATGCTTGATGGTGGGTGCCTTTACCTACTGAGCCATCTTGTGGGCAACTAGCTCACACTTTATTTATGCTGAACAGCATTGATCTAGAGACCTGAGTTCTGCCACAAACTCATCTTGAGTGCTCTGAGCCTTGGACTGCTGGTTTCTACCTATGGGTCTTGTTAGGGTTCCAAACAGCAGCAGCTTCCCCACTCCCCAACAGGGACCTACAGACTTTTGGAGCCCGAAAAAGGGAACTGAGCTGATAGGCACCTTGGCCTTTGAAGTCAAGGGAAACAAACTCTGCTGAGAAGCAGCCTGCCTTTCCTCTGATCTCCAAAGATAAGATAAGCAGATTCTACCTGTTAACCAAAGATTTTAGAAGCTGTTTGTCACAACAGCTTTTCTCTTATCTTAAGAGGGAAAAAGTAAACACTTCCAGACCCTAATCCTACCTGGCAGACTGAACGAAGCCAGGTTTACAAGCCCTGCTTTTCTTGCTTCCCCCTCCCTGATTTTCCCCTCAAACACTCCCCCCTTCTACACCCTAAAGCCCCCATATATAAGTCCCAGCTCACAACCCGTGGGCTGACATCTTTCCCTTCCCCGAGGGAAATGTGTCCCATGCAAAATAAAGCTGTATCCTGCTGAGAATTCTATCTGTGCCTCGCGGTGCCTCCTCCATCCGCTCATGCTCTCCATTGCACTCTCCCAACATTTTTACCTATCAGGTCTCGGATGTCTCTCATGCCCTTACAACAAGAAACAGCTACTAAAACTAAAAACTGAGGACAAAGTGCTGCTCTGAAATCTGGAGAGCAGATACAGACTAAAGACCAGCTTTCTTTCTTTGGGCATATGTCGTGTATGTGCAGGTTGGTGAATGTGCAAATAAATGTGTGCATATGGATGCTATTCCTCAGGACACCATCTATCTTGGTTTTTTTTTTTTTTTTTTTTGAGAGTGTTTCTCACTAGCTTGGAACTCCTGATTTAGCTAGGCTAGCTGGCCAGTGAACCCCAGGGATCTGCCTGTCTTAGTCTACCTCTGCCTGCCATAGTGCCTAGGTCTGTGTGTGTTTGTGTGTGCGTGTGTATATGTGTGCATGTGTGTGGAGGCCCAAAGTTGACATGAGGTATCTTCTTCCATCACTGTTTATTGAGGCAGGGTTTCTTAGAACCTGGAACTTACCAAATTCTGGCTAGTCTATGGACCCACCTTGCCAAAGAGTCGTCTCTGCCTCCTGAGTTCTGGGATTACAGGTGCCTGCCACATTTTTGTGTGAGTTCTGGTGATCTGAACTCCAAACCTCACAGGGGGTACAGAGCAAGTGCTGTGCCCACTAAGTCATCTCTCCAGCCCATGCCCAGCTTTAGGGGGATCAAACTCAGGTTGTTGGGCTTAGTAGAAGCATGTTTACCCTTGGAGCCACCTTGCCTGTGCCTCTTTATATTCTTTCTGCTCCCTTTTCCCCTGATGGTCCCTAGGCATTGGAGGCAATGATATGGATGTCTCATTCAGGGCTGAGCAGTCAACAATAATTTATTCTCCTAAGTCTCTGCATTAACTGGCATCATATATTCTGAAACAAATTTATAATAATTATTTGAAGAAAAAAAAAATCAAAGGGCAAAGAAATCCCTGCAGACTAATTTGCCACTGCTTTGTGTGAGACAAGATAATTGTCTCACAAATAATACTCGTACCAGCCCCCTGGAACACAAATTTAGTTTAGGATAAAGTCCAAGATGATCAGAAGCATTAGGACAATTTGTCTTTCGTCGTGCACCTTTTTAACAGTTAAGTACCTTTTTATTGAAGGAAGTGAAGAATTCGTAGGTCCTAAATGCTCTTCACATGGTTTCTGCCTCCCCTCTCCCCTCCCTCCTCTCTCCCTCCCTCCCTCCCCTCCCCTTCTGTCTCTCCCAGTTTAGCGCTATTCTGGGGCTTTAAGAACATAGGAGAATGCTTTCTCTTTGCTGGGAAGAGGACAGCTGCAGAACGCTCTAGGATACCCCAGCCTGCACTCGGTAGCCGGAAGTCGACCAGCCTTCGCCTCTAGGAAGCGGAAGTTCAGGGGCGGATGGCAACCCTGCAGCTGCTTTGCGAAGCCGGCTTGTGAGAAGAACGGCGGGAAAGGCGCGTGTCGGCTTCTCACTGGCGCAGCGTCGGCCGCCGCGGTCCCGCCTCTCCCCGGCGTAGTCACCGGCGCTGTCGTGGACCGAGCGCGGCCGGGGCAAGGGCAGGCAGGGGGAGGCTTGCGCCACGGCGGCGCGGCGGCTGACAGGTACCTGGGGTGGCCTGGGGAGGCCTCGGGCGCCGCGAGAGGGTCCTAGCACCTTGAGCTGCTTCCTTTCTCCTGACTTAGTTTCCTCTCCAGTGCCTCCCACCTCTTCTTCGCCAGCGCCTCCAGCTGTCCCCAGCGGTCTTGTTACTGGCGGCTGGCAGCGGGCTCTCTCCAGCTGTCTTGATTCTCGGTGAAGAGCTAGAGGAAGTGCCCCCCTCAAGAATTTACACGAAGCCTGGAGTAGGCTGAGAACCAGCATGCTGCAGGGTTCTGATTGAGAACGACTTGGTCTTCGTATAGGTTTCTGTTTTCCCCAAAATGAAATCAGCTCATGCATCTTGGTTGCCGTTTTCTTTCAGTGCTGGGATATCTTGGATAACTTTTAAGTGTGTGACCTGCCAGATCTGCGTACTTCGCCAATAAGTTATAAACATGCATTTTTCTTGTTCCTTGATTACAGTCTTTATCTTATTTTGCATTTGTTGCCAGATTAGAGAAAAAGCGTTTTGGTTGTTCTGGGAAGCCGACATGTGCCTGAGGTGTTATGCCTTAAATCTGTGCACTTGCTAGTCAATTTTTATGAAGTTCCTTCCTTCCTAGAATGCCTGTACAGTGGCAGGTGTTTATTTAATTTTTGTTTTGCTCTTTTTTTTTTTTTTTTTAAGATAGAGTCTTAACGTATCTCAGGCTGGCCTTGAACTTCTACTGATCCTTCTACCTCAACCTCCCAAAAAGAATTGGAACTGATTGTGACCTTTCCACTGGACTTGCTTTTGGTAAACTTAGCTGAAACTTATTTTTCTTTTTAATTGAAATGTACTGCCTTATTTGTGTGTGTGTGTGTGTGTGTGTGTGTGTGTGTGTGTATACATGTTGTGTGTGTGGGAGTGTGTGAAAATGGAGATGGTAATACCTCCTTCATAAAGCTTATCTATAGAATATGGCACTAATGTGCCAGGTACCATGCTGTTTGCATGTAGACATGATTGCTAACCTCAAAGAACTTCAGTCCTTGGGCTTTTGTGTGTGAACATTAATGTGGTATATGTAAAGCACCTAAAACCATGCTTAACCCAGAGTTATTGTGCAGTTAAGTTCAGGTTTCCTCAGTGCCTTTTGTAATGCACTCAATTCCTTTACCACTCTCTGCCTACTGTCTGCCTGGGTTACTGTGTATAGTGGTGTTTACCTGGCAATAGGAACCATCATCTCTTTGTGAGGATCTTACCTCTAGGCCTCTTCAGGACAAACTGTTATAACAGCTCTCCTGAATCTTCATTAGCTATGTTAGTTGTAGTGTGCAAAGCAGGCTTCTGAGGCTATAGTACATGGACCTGTGGGAGTGGGTGTCTGGAGTTGTATGTAAAAGTTCAAGTCCTTGCTTCTCTTTGGAAATACACTTTACCGGGTTCTGAAAAGGAGGTTATGCTCTGTTTCATCCCTCAGCCAGGAATTGATGCTGGTAGGTTTTAGTGTCAAATGCCTAGTTTGATTTGTTCTTTTCTAGTAGATTTTAGTTTTATGCATGAATTCTTTCATTTTTATAGGGTCTTTATAGTAGTCGTCACAAATATGGGTTTTTAAAATATTTATTATTTTTATTTTATGTGTATGAGTGTATTGCTTGTATGTATGTGAGTGTGCCTGTGTTGTGCAGTGCTGTGCAGTGCCGCGGAGGTTAAAAGAGGGCTTTGGATTCCCCTGGAACTGGAGTTAAGGACGGTTCGTAGCTGCCATGTGAGTGTTGGGAATCGAACCCAGGTTCTCTGCAAGAGCAGTCAGTGCCCTTAACCACTGAGGCATCTCTCCAGCCCCCAGGATGGGTTTTTAAAAAAAATAATTTACTTTGTATGTCCGTGTGTTAGTTAGTATGTGTGTGTGGAGGCCATATGTCAAAATTGGGTGTTTTACTCAATTGCTCTCCCCCCTTTTTTTTGAGACAAGGCCTCACTTTGTGGTACCCTGACTGGCCTAGAACTCATAGGTTGACCTCAGTCTCCCAGAGATCTGCCTGCCTCTGCCTCCCAAATGCAGGGATTGAAGGTGTGCACTACCACAACCAGCCTCCACCTTTTTAAAAAATATATATTTTTTATTTTTATTTTATGTGTACGAGTGGACCCGTGTCGTGCAATGCTGTGGCAATCAGAAGAGGGCGTTGGATTCCCCTGGAACTGGAGTTAAGGACAGTTCGTAGCCACCATGTGGGTGTTGGGAATCGAACCCAGATCCTCTGCAAAAGCAGTCATTACCCTTAACTGCTGAGCCTTCTCTCTAGCCCCTCTACCTTGTTTTTTTTTTCAGACAAGGTCTCTCACCAATTTGACTCAACTGGCTAATGAGCCCCAGGAATCCTCCTGTCTCTGATTCCCCAATGCTGGGATTATAGGCACCTGCTGCTGAACCTGGCTTTTAAAAAAAAAAAAAATTATATATATATATCATGTTGTGGGTGTTCAAACTGAAGTCCTTATATTTGTACAAATACTTTTCTGACTGAGTATATCCCTAACCCCTGACTTTTTTTGTACTTCAGGAGACCTTTATTTACACATGAGATGTTTAGGTTATTTTTTTCTTTATAGAGGAGCTGGTGATGCCTCAACTTAACACTTAGACACTTTTCTATTTGCTATAATTCATTTTGCTTCTATTCTTCAAAGTATGTATTGTATAAAGCAGGCTATTAACAAAAGTGATATTGTCATTAAAAAAGTAGATACTGACAGGTTCCCCCCAATACCACTTGTCTCCCACATTGATAACATTTATAATCAGTATCAAGGAAGTGACCCTCTCATCCTCTTGCTTCTCATCCAGATAGCTAGGGTGGTTTGTCTGTTTGTTTTTCTTGAAACAGTCCTAATTTCACCTCAGCCTCCCGAGTGAGTACTACAGACTTGAGTCACTATACGTGGCATTTCTTTTTCATTTTGTGGCAGTTTTATTGGAATTGTGGGCATGATGACTTGCTAGGCAAGTACTCTTTCACTGAGCCACTGTTTTGTTAGGTAGGTTTCTAGCATGATAACTCAGATCAGAAGTGCTCTGGATGCTATCTAAGAGGATGTCAGTGTGTTTAGAGAGGCTGCTGACAGGAGACAGGAGCCTCCAGGCTGCTTCCTAGAAACTTGGATTCCCTGCTTTGCAGATGGGGACAGGTGTCATGAGAAACTGCTAAATCCTTAGATTTGCTCGTTTCAGATCATGGGTCTTTTTTTTTTTAACTTTGAAAAAACTTTATTGAGAACTTCATACATGCATATAAGGTATTGTGATCAAATCCATGTCCACTCCCTCTCCTCCAGTATCTCCCATATCTCCCACTTTATTCTGACAACTTCGTGTACTCACTTTTTCTTTCCTTCTCTTTCCTTTTCTTTTCTTTTCTTTTCTTTCATAGGGCTTTTTGATACTCTAACATTCCCCCCTTTGAAGAGGTAACCCTAAAATATTTTAGGGATTAGATAAGAGTAGCAACATACTCTGTTCCACAGATCACGGTTTTTTTTTGTTGTTGTTGTTTTTTTTTTTAGTTTTGCAGTTAAGACTCACTATATCAGTTTATTAGGACTACCATGATGAAGTCCTTAGCCATAAACTGGGTGGCTTCCAACAACACATTTCATTGTTTTACAGTTTTGAAGGCTACAACTCATAAGTTGAGGAGTGGCAGCACCATATTTCCTCCAAAACTATAGGAGAGGATCTTTTCCTTGCCTCTTTCAGTCTCTGGTAGCTTTAGGCCCCCAGGTATCCCTTACCGTGTAATTCCTATGTCTACCTGTCTTCACCAAACATTCTCCCTGTGTCTATTCAGGTTTCTACCTTTTATAACACTAGCAATATTGGGTTAGCCTATCCTAATGACTGCATTGTAACTTGATCATCTTTGTAAAGACCCTATCTCCAAATAAATTCACATTCTGAGGTGGAGGTTTGGACTTCATATCCTTTTTAGAAGCTAGAATTCAACTTAGAGCACCATCTGTCATGTGCATTTTATCTGTCTTTGCTTTATTTACTCTCCTGCTTTATAAAGTTGCTTGCAGGCTGCTGTGGGACCAGCTTTTACCCCTCTGTGTGGTATTACTCCCTAGGAATCGATGTTCAGCCTCTGTAGAAAAGAATGTAGTCAACTTCCTGCCTTTCCTTGTGCCTATAACTCTTCATCCGTTGTTGGACTGTCTAGGTGTTAAGAGCTGTTATATTTCAGATGCATCTCTGTTTCTGTACTTTTACTGTTATTTTGTGTCCCTCTGTGTTAAGATTTTTCGTGCTTCCTTGTGAAATTTAAACATTCCCTTCTCTTTTCCCATTGTAGGGCTCTGTTACAACATGGGACTTCTGGTTGCACTGGCTTCACTGTGCCTGTTCTCTTCAGCAAAGGCTGATTCAAAAGCCATTACAACTTCTCTTACTACAAAGTGGTTTTCTGCCCCACTGCTGTTAGAAGCCAGGTAAGGAGACATTTTTTCTGCATAACTGAATATCTTAAATTTAGGCTCTGGCAGTAAATGAATATTCAGAAGTCAGATTATGTTTTTTGTGTGCATGTGTTAAGCTCCATTTTCAATGTGCACTGTGCTCTGTGTTGTACAATGGCTATTAGGAGGCAAAATCTGTCTTTCAGCAGCATAGGATTGAATTGATTCATAGACAGATTGAGGAACTTTGCTCCTAAGAACAAGACCCCAGGATAAAAGAGTACAGGGTGGAGAAGGATGAGCTGAGAAAATCTCAAAGCTCACTTGTTCTAAGATGCATGTGTTTACATTGTAATCTCCCAAATTGGCATGCTTTTTTAAATTTGGAAGTTATTTTCTTCTTTACTTTTGTATTCAGATTTTACTAGTTTGTATCAACATAAGCACATTAAAATTTGTTATACCATATAGTGTTCCATTGTATAATTGTATTATTACTTTCTAATTTGTGTACATTGTACAAAAATAATGGGTTTCCTTATGGCATTTTCATACATGCATATAATGTATTTTGATTACACCCCCCCATCCTACTGCATTTATGCAATCAAATCAGAAGGTTATTTTAGGGGATAAGAATGTAGCTCAGTTGTAAAGTGTTTTCCTAGCATGCATGAAGCCTTGAGTTTGGTCCCCAGTGCTGCATAAACTGAATGGGGTGGAGTGTACATCCCTGTGATCTCAGCATTGGGAGATTGAGGCAGGAGGATCATCCTTTGATACATACTGAGTTCATAGTCAGCCTGGGATATGTGAGACAGTGCCTACCCAGCTCCCCCGCCCCCCTCCAAATTTATCCTAAAGCCAGGAATAGTAATACCTTTGTACTTCCATCTACTTGGGGCTGAGGGAAAAGGATGGAAAATTTAAGGCTAGTCTGGGCAAGTTATTGATACACTATCTGAAAAAAAAAAAGGGAAAAAAAGACTGGGGATGTAACTTAGTGGTACAGTGCTTGCTTCCTTGCCAGGTGTGAAGCCATAGGTTCTATCCTCAACACCCCCCCCCAAAAAAAATAATTATAGCCAGGCATGGTGGTATATATATCTGTAAGCACAGCACATAGGAGACTGAGGTGGGAGAATTGTATGTTGGAGGCCCAACGGACTACATAGTGATACTCTATCACAAACAGACAAAAAGCTATAAGCATGTTTCAAAAAATAATTGTATGTCTTACAATTGATAAAATATGATATAGAACAGGTGTTGTGGCAACACCTTTAATCCCAGCACTCGGGAGGCAAAGAGGCAGATTTCTGTGAGTTCAAGGCCAGCCTTGTCTACATAGCAAGTTCTAGACCTGCTGGGGCCACAGGGAAATCCTGTCTGAAAAAAAACAAACAAAAAATGACAGCTCTAATTTCTCAAAATTTTTTCCACAAACATCTCCCCATTTCATGGTATCTTTGGCCATTTGCCATTTTGAGCTGTTACTTTTAGGCCTCCTCCAGTAGCTGTTTATAAGCAGGTAGTCAAGGTGAGGGGAGTTGTAGGCAACTCCAAAAGGAGCCCATCTTATTTGAAACCACTCTGCATTCACCTCTAGAACTAACTGAGGCCACCATTCTTCTTCTGGATGAGGATGAAGGGTTCTGTACACCAGGCATGTAGCTGTTATAGACCTTGTTTTCCTTGCATCTAGCCCTAAGGGACTGAAAACATTCCTGCATGTATTTTTAGATTGTGCTGATGTTCATGAAGGGATTTTGGTTTTGTGATTATTCATGAAGTGATATATGTAGTTAATTGAAGTAAAGCTCTGAATGTTTGGGGCAACTATAGTTACCAGTAGAAATAATATATAAATAGGTATTATAAGCTGGGCGTGGTGACACAGGCCTTTAATCCCAGCACTCGGGAAGCAGAGGCAGGCGGATCTCTTTGAGCTCAAGGCCAGCCTGGTCTCCATAGCGAGTCAAGGCCAGCCTGGTCTCCATAGCGAGTCCAGGCCAGCTGGGGTTATAGGGAGACCCTGTCTCATGAGACTACATAGAAGCTATCCTTGACTTCTAATGGCACATGAACTCAGTTTGTGCTGTGAAGTGAATGTACATGATGAGATCTTTCTTAGAACTTTCAGAAAATGGGGCTGGAAAGATGGCTCAGCAGTTAAGAACACTGACTGTTCTTGCAGTAAACCTGGGTTTGATTCCCAGCACCCACATGGCAGCTAACAACTGCCTGTAACTCCAGGTATTTCACGACACGGGTGCACTTAACTATATGCAGGCATAACACTCATACACATTAAAATAAATAAATAAATAAATAAATAAATAAATAAATAAATAAATAAATAAATAAAAGATTGAAAGTAATAATCACTTATTGTTTGTCAGATGCTGTAATGGCTCAGGGCTATAAAATAATAGCGATATAAATATACTTGAATTTATATTCCAGCATTTTCATTTATTAGGAATACTAATCTAAAAACAAGATTTCCACCAGATATGTGTTATCTGGAGGAAAATCAGGTTTCTTGTAGGTTCTGTGCATGTGCGTGTGTGCGTGTGTGTATGTGTGACAGTCTTGCTACATAAAGACTAAGCTAGCTTTCTTTACATTTGTGATCCTTCTGCTTCTGCTTCCCAAGCATTGGGATTGAAACCCAGCTCTTTTTTTACCATATATGAAAATTCTGGCAAGTTTATAAGGCCTCTGCAGTTCTTTGGTATAAAGTATTTATCAACGGAGAAAATGGCATATTGAACCCTTTCTGTACCAGCACTCATTTTAACAGTGATTGGGACTGGGGTGTGGCTCTGTGGGAGGTGCTTACTTAGCTTGGGCGAGGCCTTGGGTTCCATTCCAGGGGAAAAATCAATTCAAGGGCAGTAACTATTACCATCTTCTCCTTGCCTATCTGAATTTTATAGCAAGTCCCAGACATGATCTCCTCCATAAAAACAAATTTTTACTCTCTGGGATAGATACACAAAGCTGAAAAGAAAACAGAAGAAAAAGCGAACTTAATTATACTATAAAATATGTTACAGCATTACTTTTAATTATGCCTTCTATTCTCCTTTTTTCTGATTCAATGTTTCTAGTAATTAGGTTTTTTTTTAAGACAGTCTTAGAAATCTGAAGTAGAATTAAAAATGCTTCAAGAAAATTGTTTATGATGTGAGAGTATGTATTTAGCCTGAATGAATCTTTGTTTTTGTCTTCAACTGATGAGTATGTCTTTTATTCATTAATTTAGTGCTTATTTGTTTGTCATGACGTGTTACTACCTGTTTTCTTAAACTGTCAGCTATTCTAACGTCAGTCCAGTATTTATGTCAGTTATTAGAAAGCCTAGAAAAATGTCTCTCAAGAAAGCACTACATAATATGTTAATGATAATAGATATTTTTAAAAAACTTTTAGAGAAGCTGCATATTCCAGAAAATGTTTCTTATTTTCCCATATTCCTGTATGGTACTGTGGAATAGTGTGAGTTATACACTCCAGTGTTGACACATGATAGGAAGGACTTCCTTTGGCTAAGGTGAACTGAGGCCTGCATCTGTGGTTTGCTTTAAGACTGAGAGCTCACTACCATACTGGCACTGTGGCTTCAAAGTGAAGATCACCAGGTTATGTTAGTTGTTCCTTCAGATAGTCTATGCATTCTAGTTTAGGAGTTTTAGACTCCTGAATGAAAGGAAATTCAAAAGGCCGTTATGTTCAATTAATAGTGTAAAGCAGAAACAGTTTTTAGATTCGATTTTGTTAGATGAGTACTAATTTTAAACTAAAATTAGAATTTCTGGTTTTATGGATGTTAAAAGATCAACATGCTGCCTTTATTCTCCCAGAAATTGTTCTAGGGTTCATGTTTAGTGTAGGAGAACTTTAGGCAAAATAATTTTTGTTCTCTCTAAGGTCTTTCAGAAAAGCCATGGGCAGAACTAGTGCTGGAAAGGCCAGTTCCTAATTCTGCTTCCATTGTCAACAGGGTCTTTGCTAATGGGGTTTCTAAGCCATTTTTAGACTTGGGCTTTCCTATTGTTACATTTTTATCACTCCAAACTTCTAAGAGATAGCTACTAAGTGAGCAAAGTGTTAAGCTGTTAATAGCTAATGAGATACTGAGGTTTACTTTTCATTAGGAAAATATATATTAGACATACAGATGTCTAATATATATAAATTAAAACCCAAACTATGGACATTTGGGAATGTAAATTCCTTTTTATTCTTCTGGTAATGTATTTTTATTGTAAGATTTTATTGACTTATTGCTGATATCTCCCCTCCCTCCTCTTCTCCTAGTGAGTTCTTAGCAGAAGACAGTCAAGAGAAATTTTGGAGTTTTGTAGAAGCCAGTCAAAATATTGGATCATCAGATCATCGTGGTAAACTTGAAGCAAATACTTGTTTGACTTTGTGGTCTGGGGAGATATTAAAAAAAGACAGGTTCTCCTTTGTATAGAATGTGTGACATGGCAGTTAATGAAAAACATTTTTATCTTAAATGACTAGAGTTGTGATGGTGACTAGGAAGACCCAATGACAATTCAAATAATTATTGATTTTATTGTTGGGGGTTGAACTCAGGGCCTTGCCCATGGAAAGCATATGCTCTGCCACTGAGTGTCCCCAGTGTCCAGTGACCTTCAACTATTTGTAAGATTTTATTGACTTATTGCTGATATCTCCCCTCCCTCCTCTTCTCCTAGTGAGTTCTTAGCAGAAGACAGTCAAGAGAAATTTTGGAGTTTTGTAGAAGCCAGTCAAAATATTGGATCATCAGATCATCGTGGTAAACTTGAAGCAAATACTTGTTTGACTTTGTGGTCTGGGGAGATATTAAAAAAAGACAGGTTCTCCTTTGTATAGAATGTGTGACATGGCAGTTAATGAAAAACATTTTTATCTTAAATGACTAGAGTTGTGATGGTGACTAGGAAGACCCAATGACAATTCAAATAATTATTGATTTTATTGTTGGGGGTTGAACTCAGGGCCTTGCCCATGGAAAGCATATGCTCTGCCACTGAGTGTCCCCAGTGTCCAGTGACCTTCAACTATATATATATATATATTTTTTTTTTAATATTTATTACTTATTTTTATTTTAGGTGTATGAGTGTATTGCCTGCATGTGTATAAGTGCACCCATGTTGTGCAGTGCTTGCAGAGGTCAGAAGAGGGCATCGGATCACCTGGAACTGGAGTTATGGATTGTTGTTAGCCACCACGTGGGTGCTGGAAATTGAACCCGGTCCTCTCTAAGAGCAGCCAGTGCTCTTAACCTCTGAGCCATCTCTCCTGTCCCACCAATATATTTTATTTTTAAATTTTTAAAAATTTATTTTTAATTTTTTATGTGTATAAGTGTTTTGCCCAAATGTATGTAAGTGTACCATATTAGAGGGTGACAGATCCCCTAGAACTGGAGTTATGGATGGTTGTGTGCTGCAGTGAGGGAGCTGGAAATCAAACCAGTCCTCTGCCAGAGCAGCCAGTGTTCTTAACCACTGAAACATCTCTCCAGCCCCTTTATTCTTTTTAAGAGATGGAATCTTGTTCTTTTGTCCATGCTGGTCCTAAACTCTCAGATCAAGCAGTCCAACTGCCTCATCCCAAGTCTAGTTGGGTAGTAGACAGTGAGTAAGTAAATCATTTAGTAAATGATGCGCTAGGTAAAGAAATATCCCAGGATACAAGAAATGATGTAACTGGTCTGTGCTGGCATAGGGTAGGGAACAGGGCTACTCTCAGGAGTACGTGATTCACAGCTAAATTCTTCTTTTGGAATTGAGTAGGAGTAAGTTGTCTTGGTGAGTGGGAAAATCTCAGTCCAGGCAGAAGACATCATGTGAAAGAAGGGAAAGAGTGTCTCTCTTATTGTGTATCTCAGGTAATTTTAATCATTTGATTGATAGATGTTCAAGGTGATAGTACTGGAAACAATTTGTCAGTCACGTACTTTCATAGCATGTAGCTTTGTGCTTTGTGGACTCTTACTTGGCAACCTGTAGTCATATACAATTCTTTTGATTAATATTCGTCCTCGACAGGTACCGATCGTTCCTATTATGATGCAATATTGGAAGTTGCGTTTCAGTTTCTGTCACCTCTACAGCAGAATCTGTTGAAATTTTGCCTGTCTCTTCGTTCCTACTCAGCCTCAATTCAAGCCTTCCAGCAGGTAAGTCCATTTTATGTAGAAGACAACAGTTTTTAGGGGTATGACATGCTGGCTGAGTAGATTGTAGTTGTCTTAGAATTTAATTTCAGTTAACAGTATTTTATCTGACATTTTCTGGGACTTAAGACTTGTCTTTAAATAATGAGCAAAACTTGGGGCTAGAGAGATGGCTCAGTGGTTAAGATCACTGGCTGTTTTTGCAGAGGTTGTGGGTTTGGTTCCCAACACTCACATGGCAGCTAACAGCCATCTTTAACTCCAGTCTGGCCTCTAACTCACAGGGATCCGCCTGCCTCTGCTTCCCAAGAGTGCTGGGATCAAAAGTGTGTGCCACCACACCCACCCTTGGAAGATGGAATTTTGCTAAACCAGTGAATTTGAATCTGATCACAGACTTTAGATCTAAAAACGGTTCACAGGAAATTCAAGACAGGAAGTATCAAAGCAGGGCCATTGGAATATAGTCAAGAAAGTCAAGGGTTAGGGAGACTTTGCAGTAAAGTGATCTGGTATCTTTTGTGAGTAAATGAAAAAGGGAAAGAAAAAGAGCAGCAGAACAACTCCAAGAGAGGTGTAAACATTATCATTCAGTATAGGGATCTTGTTTGGATTTAAGGAGAGAGAGAAACAGAAAAGAGAATCAGATGTATGTATACCAACTGAACATTTACATGAAAAGAACATTAATTTAAAAACCATTCTATATTATACAACAGAGAGAACTACTCACAGCAGATATGTAGTATAATGAGATGTAAAATGAGCACCTTTGTCACTTTCTCCAAGGCTCAGATATGGAACTCAGCCCACTACCCTAGAAGCCCTCCAAGTGCTGTGTCCCCCATCATACCCACCTTTTGTCCTCTGAAAGGAGCCATACTGTCACTTTCTGACAAAATCACCCCCATGGTTGTTTTTAAATCATTTTATTGCCCAAGAGTGCACCTCTATGCAGTAGAGTTTAGTTTTGCCCCGTGTTAAAAGAATTTTAAAACTTTGGGAGGTCTTTTGCTTTGTTGTGTTTCTGAGACAGCATCTCTCTTTGCAGCACAGGGTGACTTTGCATTCTTGATCCTCTACGCCAGCATACCCAGGCACTATGATTAGAGGTGTGTGCCACCATGCCCTGCTTCCCATTCTTCTGTTGTATCACTTGAACTGCATCATACTTTTCATGCACTCATTTTGCTGATCACATGGTTAGGATGCAGCTTAGTGTATATCTCTGTCTTCTGTTTCCTACAAGCTGGTGGCTTGGTCTAGAGGCTTTATCAGAATTGTTTTTCCTCCCTTTGACAAGTCTATATGTGCTTTAGTTTGTTTCTCCATTTCTGTGACAAATATTCTGACCAACACCAATTTGGGGAGGAAAGGGTTTATTTGGCTCACGTCTCCTGGGTCATAATTCATCACTGAGGAAGCCCAAGATAGGAGCTCAGGGCAGGAATCTGGAGGCAGGAGCTAGAGCACAGACCATGAAGGAATGCTGCTTACTGACTTGCTCCCCAACCCATGCTCAGCCTGCTTTCTTAACAATACAGAACAACCTGCCCAGGGGTGGCATAGCTCATAGTAGGCTGGGCCCTTCCACATCACTCAAAAATCAAGAAAATAGCCCCACAGCAGTGGCCATAGGCCAGTCCAATGAAGGAAATTCTCCGATTGAGGCTCCCTCTCCCCAGGTGTGTCAAGTTGACAACTAAAGCTACCCAGCACAACAGGTGATGTTCTAGTCACTCATCAGGGGTTTCTAATGTCTGCTCTTTTTCCCCCTTTTTACTCTCTCCTTCCCTCTCTCACTTCTCTTTTACTTTCTCTCTCTTATTTTTTCATCATTTCTGTCTCTGTCTCTGTTCTTTTTTTGGAGGGGTGGAGGCTCTTTTTGAGACAGGGTCTCCCTGTAGCTTCAGCTGGCCTAGAACTCACTATGTAGATCAGGCTGGGACTCTGTTTTCTTTCTTTCTTTTTTACAGTTATATTTTATGAGGGGAAGGTCAGTATGCCACAGCCTGTGCGTGGAGATCAGCAGACAACCTTCAGAAGTCAGTTATCTCCTGAAACTGAGGAAACTTGTAGGTCCAGGGGCTCAATCTCAGAACATCAGTCTTGGCACAAAGTGTCTTTACCTGCTGAGCCATCCCACTGCCCTGTTTTTCTTTCTAATTCTTTTCTCTTTTTGCGTTCTTTTTCTTTCGTTTTAACAGTGCTGTTTGCTTAATCCATTCTTTAGGGTTTCAAGGTGATCACTCATTCTTTCATTTTTATGCTTTTGTTTTGGTTCTGCATGTAGATGAAAAGAACATACCCTCAGCTAGTCTTTTTTGGTGACATTGTTACATAGGAAAGGTAGAACATACGCTTGATTTTTTGCCTTTGTTTGCCAAGATTGTGAATCAGTCTGACCCACTGGCATCCTTTTACTTTAAGCGTTTAGGGTTTGTTTGGTTTTTTTTTCTTTTCTCTGTTGATATAAAATACATGTAACAAAATTTACCATTTTAACCATTTTTAAGTACAGTTTAATGATAATTGTTAATTCATCTTCAGAGCTCTTCGAAGTTTTTTGAGACAGGGTCTCATGTAGCCCAACCTGGCCTTGACTTTGCTATGTAGTTGAGATTGACCTTCCTCCTGCCTCCTACGACTGAGTGCTTGGTTTACAGTTGTGCCCCCATCATGCTTGCCTCTCAGGTTTTTTCATCTTGTAAAAACGGAAACTCCTTACTCATAAAATGTTAACTCACCTTATTTCCTGTCTTCCCTTCCACTTTGGCCCCTAGTAACCACCATTTTGCTTTCTACCTCTGAACTGAAGTGCCTCATGTGAATGGAATATTTGTCCTTCTGTGTTGGATTCATGTAGCACAGTGTAAAGTTAACATCATCCAGGTGTAGCATGTGTCAGGATTCCACTCCTTTTTTAGCTGAATAATAGTCCATTGAATGTATATGTCATATTTTATTCGTTATTTCTTTTCCCAGTGAACATTTGGGTTGTTCCCACCTTTTGGCTCTTATCAGTAATGCTACTGTGGAACATTGGTATCACATGTCTGGTTGAGTTTCTGTTTCATTTCTTTTGCTTTTGTATCTAAGTATGGGATTCATGGGCCATATGATAATTCTGTTTATCCATTTATTGGCAGTGCCGGGGATTGAACCCAGGGCTTTGCACATGCCAAGCAGCTATTCTGCCATTATACTACAACCCTAAGCCCCTGTGTTTAATATTTTAATGAACCTCCAAACTGTTTTTACATAGTGGCCATTCCAGTTTTGCATTCCTTCCTATAAGGAACAAGGATTCTTATTTCTCCACATCTTCCACAACATTTAGTATTTTCTGATTTTTTTTTTTATATTGGACACTAATGATGAGTGTGATGTGGTATCACATTGAGGTTCTCTTTTTGACATAGGTCCTATTATGCAGCCCAGGCTGTTCTGGAACTCTCTGCCTCAGCCACAAGTGCTGGTATTACAGGCATGCACCACCATGTGTGGTGCCTAATTTGTGTTGTTGATGTTGTTGTCTATACTTTTGATGTCATATACAAGAAATCATTGCAAAATGTAATGGGCTTGCTTTTTTCCTCTCTTAATATCATAAACATAATCTATTCTCTTTCTTTTTTCATGTGTGTGGGGGCAGGGGGGTAATGGAAACTGAATCTAAGGTATGACACATTCTAGGCAAATGCTCTATTGCTGAGCTATATTCTCAGCCTCTTAATTTTCATTTGAGGCAGGGTCTCACTAAGTTGTCCCGGCTAGCCTTGAACTCAACTCTGCAACCCAGGCTGACCTTAAACTTGTCATCCTCTTGCCTCAGCCACCAGAGTAGCTGCGATTACAGACCTGGCTAGTAGAGTTGCAGTTTTTAAAAGATTTTTATGTATGTATGTGTGTTGAAGTGTGCATGTGAATCTAGGTGTTTGTGGACATGATGCAAGCTAGAGAAACACATGGTTGTGAGCTGCCTGATGTGGATGCTGGGGATCAAACTCAGGTTCTCTATAGGAGTAGGGCACATTCTTAACCACTGAGCCATCTCTCCAGCCCCAGCCATAGGGTCTAGCCATCATGTTCTGGTGGACAACCAAGAGAAATAGCAATAGCCTACATTGCTTGGGGGCTTCTGGGGCTTCCCTGATTAACAGTTCATATGGAGGTTGCCCACACCTGGCACTGAGATTTTTTTAATAACCCATGACTTCTGGGAAGAGTATTATCCAGGATACCTCAATTCGAATCTTTTTTAAAATAAGTTTGTATAGGGGCTGGAGAGATGGCTCAGCGGTTAGGAACACTGGCTGTTCTTGCAGAAGACCCAGGTTTGAATCCCAGCACCCACATGGCAGCTAACAGCTGTCCATAACTCCAGTCCCAGGGGATCCGACAGCCTCTTCTGACCTCTGAGGGCATTGCACGATACGGGTGCACTTACCTACATGCAGGCAATACATGCATACACATAAAATAAAAATAAAGAATAATAAATAAAATATTATTTTAAAAGTTTGTATAATACAGGTTTCCATATGCCTTTTTTATATATCCTTAGTTTTGGTAATCCTTCTTTCTTCTCCCCTTCTCCCACCCACCTGCCTGCTTGGACCTTTCTCTCCCCAGAATTTCCCCCTCCACTTTCATGCCTACTATGTTTTATTCCTGCTTCCCTCCAAAATTTTTATTACATATTTAAAAGTGATTTTATGTGTGTATGTGTGTGGGTTCACATGTGCTGTAGTATGCTGTGGAGATAAGAGGACAACTTGCAGGAATTGGTTGTCTCCTACCATGTAAGTCCTGGGGATTGAACTCAGGTGATCAGTCTTAGTGGTAGGTACCTTTATCCACTGAGCCCTCTCACTAGCCCCATAAAGTTCACATCTATAACCCTAGGGCTCTTGGGCCTGAGGGCTACAGACAGAGAGCTCTCTGAAGTCCACTCAGCCTAGCTGAATTAATGAGCTTCAGGTTCATTGAGACACCCTGTCTCAAAAAATAAAGGTAGAGAATGATTCAGGAAGGACACTTGATGTTGACCTCTGGCCTCCACATTCATGTGCACATATACACACACTGACACTGTCATGGTTGTCTTCAGCTGTCACCTTGACATATCTGGGAAAAGAGAACTTCAGTTCAGGAATTTCTTCTATTGGACTGGCCTCTGGGCATATCTGGAAGGCATTTTCTTAATTGTTGAGTAATGTGGGAGAGCCCAGCCCACTGTGGGTAGTACCACCCCTGGGCAGGTGGTCCTGGGTTTAAACAAGCTGAGCACAAGCCAGAGGAGCAAGCCAGTAAGTAGTCTTCATCAGTGATCTGTGCTTTAGTTCCCTGCTTCCAGGTTCCTACCTTGAGCTCTTGCCCTCATGTCCCTACTTGATGGGTTGTCACTTGGAAGAATAAGATACAATAAACCCTTTCCTCCTCCCCAAGTTGGTTTTGGCCAATGTTTTTGTCGAAGAAATAGAAAGCAAGCTAATATATACACATCAGAAAGCATGACTTTTTATTTGTTTATTATTTTTATTCTATGAGTATGAGTGTATTGCCTGCATGTATGTAAGTACACCTGTATTGTGCAATACCCAAGGAGGTCAGAAGAGGACCTCAGATCCCCTGGAACTGGAGCTACAGATGGTTGTTAACCACCATGTGGGTGCTAGAACCCGAACCTAGAACCTCTGCAAGCGCAGATGGTATACTTAACTGCTGAGCTATCTCTCCAGCCCCCAAAACCTGACATTTTGAGCTAAAGTGGTTTTGTTGTTGCTGCTGTTGTTGTTGTTTTTGGCCTCTTTGAGACAGGATCTCCTGGAACTTGCTATAGACACCAGGCTGGCTTTAATCTCAAGAGATCCACCTGCTGCTGCCTCCCAAGTGTGGGAATTAAGGGTGTGCGCCACCATGTCCAGTCAGCTCGACTAAGGTGTATACACCCTAGTTTCTCCAGTTGTCTTTTGATAATTTTCTAAGCTAAAGAATTTTAACTATCTATTTGAAATAATAATGCTAGTTAGCACTGACCTCTGGGGACTGGACAGTGTAGGAGGAGATGAATAACACAACAAGGAGAGTACTAGCCTGGAGAGCTCTTACTTGCTTTGCCCACAGTAGATGTTCAATAGATGGTAGTTTTTGCATTTATTCGTAGATTATTTATTTGCATTTATTTGTAGATTATTTATTTGTAGATTATTATAAATTCATTGTTTATTAAAACATACATTTCTGTCTTATCTTTGACTAGAAATATGTGTTTTACATTCCCTGACAGATAGCAGCTGATGAACCTCCACCCAAAGGATGTAATTCATTTTTTTCAGTGCATGGAAAAAAGACTTGTGATTTTGATACCCTGGAGACTCTTCTACTAACTGCATCTGAAAGGTATTTTGTGCTTCTTCGTTTAAATGTCATGCATATCTTTGTGCCTTTTCTGTTTTAAACTTACCTTCTGATTTTTTTCATGAGAAAAGGTCTTGACATGAAGCCTAGGCTGACCTGAAAAATACTAGATAGCCCATACTGTTCTCAAACTCAGAATCTTCCTGGCTCAGCCTCCCAAGCACTGGGATTACAGGCATGTGACACTATGCCCAGCTCCTCTGATTTTTTTTTCTTTATAGTCTAGAATGTGGATTCTAGCCTGAGACTGACTAGGTAGCAGTATCACCTCTATTGCTTAAAATAGTTGTGTGAAATGAGGCAAGTTACTTTCTTTTCTTTTGTTTCAAAAGTAGAAGTATTATTCCTGTTTACTGAATGCTTATTGTATCTGAGAGATTGTGTAGGCTTTGTCATTAGTTCCCAAGGAATAATGTTTGTTTGCAAGCCAGCATCTGAACTAATGATGTTAATAATAATGATCTCTTAGACTAGTAGTACAAAAGAAAATATTTAAAAGATAGTTGCAAGCTGGTTTGAACATTAAATTACTAGTAGCTATGCCAGCTTTTTCTTTTTTCTTTTCTTTTTTTCTTTTTTTTTGCCTGAAATGGTTATGTCTCTTGGAGTGGACACTCACAGTCAGTGCCTATTTGGCTATCTGACTCAAGCAGCCGCCTCCCTGTACCTGCTCTACTACTCTCTACTACTGCTGTTGATGCAGTATGACTACGGTCTGCTCCATCAGAAGTGTTAAGAGCATTTTGGTGTTCTTTAGTGACATTGCCCAGTACCTGTCCTCTGCCTAACAAATGGTACTAGTGCCTTTTATTCAATGTCAACAACCAGTAAACCACTGTACATTCTAACCAGCTCATAGTCAAGGTATGGACTTTGGAGAATAGCTGTAAGGCAGAGTAATGCTCTTTGCGGGGGAAGGACAATTGGCAGCTTCGTAATTTTTTAGAATTTTTTTTAGCTTGTTAAAGCCCTAATGCAGACTGTATAAAGAAAAGAGTGCCTTTGAGAGGTAGGAACTACAGTAATCATCTGCCATTTATCGTGCTAGGCTTTTTTGTGGCTTCAAATTTATACAAGTAGTTTATTTCTATTAAGAGGTATCTCTTCATTTAGTATATGAAAGTGTACCTCAGTATTTTTATAATGTTTATATAATAGACCATTTAAGAATGTCTTACTGATGATTTTTAAAGTTGTTTCCAATTTTGAGGGTTTTCCTATTATATGGTTATAATGAACATCTTTTTTCATATGTGGTTGCCTTTTGTTGAATAGTTTATCATATGGGAATTGGTAGGTATATTACTTTTTTCTTGCTGTGATAAAGCTCTGTGACCAAAGGCAGCTTAAGGAAGAGTTGATTTTGGCCTATGGTTCCAGAGGGATAGATGTCCATAATGTTGGGGAAGGCAGGATGGCAGGATCAGGAAGCTGAGAGATCACATCTCAGCCACACACAGGAAGTAGGGCAAGAACTGGAAGTAGAGTGAGGCTGTAAACTCTAAACGCCCTCTCCAAGTGGACCTGCTTCCATTAAGGGTCCACATTCCTAATCGTTCCATAACCTCCTGAAATAGTGCCACAATTGGGGACCAAGTGTTCCTGTGCAGGGCATTTGTCATTCAAACTACCACTGTAAGTCATATATTAGGAACTTTTAATTTATTGACACCACTCCTAGGGAAGTGAGTTTTTATTGTTGTTAGGTTAGGATTTTTATTTGGGGGAGGGGTTGCTTTGTTTTGTTTTTGAGAAGCTTAAAAAATTTATGAAGAAAACTGAAATGTTAAATTCTTTAGTAGAAAGATCATAATAGAGAAGGGAGACTTGTAGTAGTTGACAAATTAGGTACTCAAAGTCACCCTCTGCTTTTTGCTTTATTTGTACTTATATTTTCAGATAAAATTGCAGCCATGCTCCATGTGATAGGAAAATTTACTATTAGTTTAGTGCTGAGATTTGGGATATGTTCTTTTTCTGGTGCCACTCCTGTCTTTTGTTTTTGGGGAGGGGCGGGCAGGGGATTGGTAATAATTATTAAGCCAGGTCTGTATTTTATAGTTTGTGTTTATGTAATGAACTTTAAGAAAAAAAAGTGATCATGAGCAAGTAGAACGCTAAGTGAAAATTGTTTAAGACTAATACCCTTTATATTATGATAATTATACTCTTTACTTAAATTGTTTTTAAAGTTGTCATAGCGGTATCCTGGTTTTTTTGTGTTAAAATTTTTTTAATTGCAAATTTTAAGCTTTTAATATTTATTTCCAGACCTAAACCTTTATTGTTCAAAGGAGATCACAGATATCCCTCATCAAATCCTGAAAGTCCAGTGGTGATTTTTTACTCTGAGATTGGCCATAAAGAATTTTCTAATATTCACTACCAACTTCTATCAAAAAGCAATGCAGGCAAAATTAACTATGTATTCAGACATTATATATCTGTAAGTATTGACTTACTTTACAATTTCTTGATTATTATGTTTAGAGTGAGCTTAGAATATATGCTAATAATTTCCCTTTATAATTTATTTGAACCACTTTTTTTTAGAAATTCAGTACTTTTTTACCATTTCTTTCTGTCTTGTGCTCTCTCTCTCTCTCTCTCTCTCTCTCTCTCTCTCTCTCATTTTTTTTTTTTAAGACAGGGTCTTATGTAGCCCTGACTGGCTGAACTTGCTATATAAACCAGGCTGACCTCAAACTCATGAAGACCCATTTGTCTTTGTCTCCATAGTTAGTGCTGAGATTAAAGGCATGCCACCACACCTGGCAATTTTATTTATTTGTTTTTGCTTTCTTTTTTAAAAGAGTGTATGTACTGTGTGTGTATGTGTGTGTGTGTGTGTGTGTGTGTATTTGTGTTCACATGCATGTGGGCATGTACTTGTATGGTGGTATGCCCATAAAGGTCTGAAGTTGATGTTGGGCACCTTCCTTGATCACTCTCCACCATATTCATTGAAGCAGGGTCTCTCATTTGAACTCAGAGTTTGCTGAGTAAACTAGTCTAGTTAGCCAGTTTGCTCCAGGGTTCCCCTGTCTCTGCCTTCTTGAGGTAGAATTACAGGAAGGCTGCCATACTGTTCTGGCATTTACCTGGGTACTGGGGATCTGAACTTTGGTCCTCGTGCTTAGATGGCAAGGACCCTATCTGCTAAAGCTACCTTTCCATTTCCCATCAGATCTCTTACTCACATATAGGCAGGGCCTTGCTTGCTTTTCTAAAGAAATGTAAAACAATTCTATTAAAACAGTACTGCAAATGGTTTGCATTTTATTTTGAAATCAACTGCGTAGAGCTAGGTATAAAGGCTTATGCCTGTACTCCCAGTACTTGGAAGATCTGAGGCAGGAGGGGTATGGTGAGTTCAAGGCTATCCTGAGCTACGTAGCAAGATTCTCATTGCTAAAAAAAAATTGTGTGAATTATCTTTTATAAATTTAGATTTAAGCCGGGCATGGTGGCACATGCCTTTAGCCCCAGCACTTGGGAGGCAGAGGAAGGCAGATCGCTGTGAGTTCAAGGCCAGCATGGTCTACATAGTGAGTTCTAGGCCAGCTGGAGCTACAGGAGGACCCTGTCTCAAAAAGACCAAAAAATAAAAAAATAAAAAAGAATAAGTTTCGATTTAATATAGTCGTCAAGTTGTAATTCATTACTTAATTATGATATTGAGTCTTGAACCCAGGGCCTCATACATCTAGTCAAGTACTCTACAACAGAGCTACATTCCCTAAGCCCTTTAAAAAAGTTTTTTTTAATTTTTAAGCAGTCTTGCTAAGTTGTCTAGGCTGCTCTGGAGCTCAATCTGTAGCCCAAGGAGACTGAACTTGGAATCTTCCTGCCTCAGCCACTCTAGTAGCTGTGATCACAAATATGTACCACCAGGTTCAACTATAATAGATTCTTGAATTCAGTTCCCTTTCAGACCATTTCCTTCCCCATCACCACCCCCACTTCCCCTTGTATTTTATGTGCATGAGTATATGCCAGCATAGAGTTAGGTGCAGCCATGTGATGCAGTACACATGGAGGTCAGAAGAGGGCACTGGATCTCCTGGAACTGGAGTTACAGATGGTTATTAGCCGCCATGTGGGTGCTGAGAACTGAACCAAGGTTCTTTGCAGGGACAGCCAGTGCTCTTAACCACTGAGCCTTCTCTCCAGCACCAACACCCCCTCTTTTAATCCTGTGTATGTATGAGTGTGTGTATATGTGCTAGTGTAAGCATTTGCTCTTGTAGGTCAGAGTACAACCTAACATTCTACTTTTTTTTTTTTTGTATCAGAAGGGTAAGATTTCTAAACAGGTGAAATAAGGCAGAATTAATATAAAATTAAACTTGGAACATTGAGCGTGTAAAATATCTATATGTATGAAAATCACTAGCCTTTAAAGTTTGTGTGTCATAAGTTTGATAGATACTAGGTGGTAAATCTGTAAGGAAATTTTTTTTAATTAAATGAAAATTTGATTGAGTAGAGACAGATTTGTTGCCTTAGTGTGGGGATTGGGGTTTTCTTTTAATTTTTTTTTCCTTTCCTTTTTTTGAGATAAGGTCTCCTATTGCCCGGGCTGATCTTGAACTCCTGCTTTTCCTGCCTCTGCCTCCCAAGTGCTAAAGTGTGTGCTATCACATCTGACCAAAGTCCAGTTTTTGACTACTGCCCTTTGTCTCCTAGGCCAGTTGTTGGTATTAAGGATTAAAATATCTACAGGGTCAGTTAGCATGGTGATAAGACTCTGGCTTTTGGTAAGGCCAAGGCCCACTTGAAGCATTTGAATTCAGTAAGGAAACACACATGTATATACTTGGTCCCAACAAAGCACTTATGGCTCTGAGACCTCACGAGTTTTCACCTAGTTCCATAGGTTCTGAAATGAATGCTTTTTAAAAAGTAGAATAATTTTTACTTTGAGAGTTTCATATAATGTGTTTTGATCATATCCATGTCCTATTCCTCTCTTCCAACTTCTACTAGACCCCTCTGCCACACCCCCCTCCCCATCTTTTTTTTTAAACAACTCAGTAAGTCCAGTTAGTATCCTGCCAGTGGCTGTACCCCCAAAGGAAAATTAGTTTTCCTCTCCCAGCAGCCACCAGCTACTAGTATTTGCTCAGCAAGGAGTAGGGGAATTGAGCCTCTCTTTCATCCATGCTGGAATTTTAACTGTATTGATCTTGTGCAGGTTTTAGTCAGTTAACCACAGCTGCTGTGATCATGAGTACAAAAGCCATGCCCAGAAGACACAAGAGCATTCACAGCACTCCTCCCCATCCTCTGGCTCCTATATTCTTTCTGCTCCCTCCTCTGCAGTGCTTCCTGAGCCTTGGGGAAGGGGGTTGGTACAGCTATCCCGTTTAGAGCTGAGCACTCACAGTCACTTATTCTCAGTACTTCAACCAGTTATGAGTCTCCACATATTAACTGCTGCCCACTGCAGAAAGAAGCTTCTTTGGGCCAGGCAAGGTGACGCATGTCTTAAATCCCAGCACTCAGGAGACAGAGGCAGAGGCAGATGAAAGTGAGTTGGAGTCCAGCCTTAATCTACATAGCAAGTTCCAGGTCAGCCAGGGTTACATAGTAAAACCCTGTCTCCAAAAAAATAAAAATAAGCAAAGAAAACAAAAGGACGTTTCTCTATGGTTATAGTCTACACTAATCTATGTGTATAAACATAAGTGTTTACACATAAATATTTAGAAGACAGTTTGACAGTGTGATCCAAAACAACAGCAATAGGTTCCCTCCAAGGACCTATGACTTCCCCAGCCATTGGCTTTTGATCAGTTTTACCAGATTTGACCAGGCATAAATTCTTGCTGGTGGACTAAACAAGCCTAAAATCCAACCAGCAGTTGATTTCCCCCAACAGTCATGCTACCATTGCACCAGTGGGCACATCTTGCCTGGCAGGTCAGCATTGTAGCATTTAGGCTCCAGTCCTGGGGAAGACCACTGATGTCTTTTCTTCCCTAGTGGCCTACATAGCACTTTCCAGCGCTATGGAAGCTAGCCAGCAGGGAAGAAGTTTATGTTAGTTCCAGAATGATTTCTCTGAGTTTTGCAGCTAAAGTGTATGGTATCATTAGCAGTTGACAACTAAGAGCAATGGCAGTAGCCTATATTGTTTTGTAGGGGCCTCTGGTGCTGCCCTGACCAATAACTCATAGGGAGGTATCCCATGCCTGTCACTGAGATTTTTGTTGAATAACCTGTGTCTTCTAGGAGCAGCATTGTCATTCCATGCAGGGTACCTCTATTCATACTTCTTAATTATTTATTTTTAATTAGCTTACAAAGCAGTGGGTTTCCATAAGGCTTTTTTGTACATCTTTAGTTTTGTTTCTACCTGGAATTCTCGTTCCCATATTTGTGGCCAGATTCAAAATGTAAAGGAGGCTCATTCTCTAGAGAGGGAAATAAAATTCTAGATTTTATTTTATTCAAAAATAGGATGAATATTTTCATGGTAGGAAAGTGGTTTTCGTTTTCTGTTTTTTCTCTAGGTATTCAGTGAACTCTCTTGAATATATAGGTAATGACTTAAAAGTAGACTTAAAAATATTTTGAGTGCACAGTTTTAGGTGCTACTGAAGTCAACACTAACAGGGTTGCTTTGATTTTGCTCTGCCCCACAGTGAGCTAGGTGCTAATGGTGAAATACTTGCCCTATTTGCAGAATCCCAGGAAGGAGCCAGTTCATCTCTCTGGCTATGGTGTGGAATTGGCAATCAAGAGCACTGAGTACAAGGCCAAGGATGATACTCAGGTGAAAGGTGAATTTGTAAAATAAGGCCAATGTGTTCTCTTTTGTATTCCCATACTGAAAAAGAATAGATTTGGAAGTATGACGAGCCAGTGTTTGAATCTTGGTTCTGTTACAGCTGAGAGAGTGACATCCTAATTCTTGTCCTCTGTAAAATACAGGCAATGATAGATTTTCCTTCCAAGTATTTGGGAAAGTAAGAAGATAATACAGGTAAAAAATTTATGGTGCATAATTTATGGTACATATTGTAGTGCCAACCTGTACTCTTAGCACTGAAGCAGGAGAATCAAATTTAAGGCCATCCTGGCAAAGATAGCAAGACCCTATCTCAAAAATAAAAGAAACAAGAATAAACAAAAACAAAACAGAAAGCCCCCAAAATTTTGCATAAAACATTTAATAAGCACTTCTGCCATTGATGTTTTATGGTTTATATATGCTCATTAATTTGTGTTTCTAATATGAAACTTTAAGTAATTAATGAATAGTTCTATGCTCATTATGATTTTTTGTACTTGGAACAGTTTGCTGTGGGTTCTTTCTGTCATAATACTGAGGTTTTGAATTATTCCAACCACAAGTGTCATATGTTCCCTTTTTATTTTTTTCTTTAAAATTCACTTTTATCTATTTATGTATTTTTTGCACTATGTGGTATTGAACTCAGGACCTTGCACTATGTGGTATTGAACTCAGGACCTTGCTTACATTATATAAGTGCTCTACCACTGAGCTATATCCACAATTCCTTTTTATTTTATTTTTTTATTTTTGAGACAGGCTTTTACCAAGTTACCCAGGCAAGTCTTGAACTTGGAATCCTCTTTTCTCAACCCCCTGAGTAGTGCTATTTTCCAAGCTCTTGAAGCTCTTTTTTTTTTTTTTTTTTTTTAAGTCCTTTTGAGGCAGGGTCTCCCTGTAGCCCCAGCTGTCCTGGAACTCACTAAATAAATCAGCCTGGCCTCGAACTCACAGAGATCTGCCTGCCTCTGCCTCCCAAGTGCTGGGATTGAAAGTATGCACCACCACACTCATTTTAAACATAAAAACAATTGGTTTGAGTAGTAAAGCACTAATGATATTTAGGATTGTCTAATTGCAAATTCTTAGGAATTTAACTATGAGGAAAAATCCTTCATAATACTTAAATGTATTAATTTTGAAATTTTTAATGGTAAAATTTTCTAAAATATAAGAGAAAATACATTCTTATTTTGTCTAGGAACCCAAGAAATATTAAAAATTTTTGTCTGTTGGTTTAAAAATCCATAATGAAATGATAATTGGAGCATTTGAAATTTTAAATACTGTAATTTCAGGTGCTGACTTTTTTTTTAACATTCCAACTTCATGAACTTAATAACATTTTATTTCTACTCTGAGCCATTAGACATATTTTCACTGTGTCTTTATAGGAACTGAGGTTAATACCACAGTGATTGGTGAAAATGATCCTATTGATGAAGTTCAGGGATTCCTTTTTGGAAAATTAAGGTAAGGATGTAAATTCATTTGGGGAGATGCTTTTCATTCTCTCTAAACTTCCAAGGGTCCTTGCATTCCTAGGATCATCTTTACCATTACTATCTGAGTTGTTAACTCTAAAAGCACTTATATACATGGTCTACAATGGAGAACACCCACTTCATTTATAGTAAAGTTGGTCATTTATAGTCATTCTGAGGCACATTATTCTTAAATGATACTTTGGCTACCTGCTTTTGGCTTAAATTGATGTTCTTTTTCTCTCAGTTCATGACAAAAAATTGCAAACCATTGGCCAGGTGTGGTGTTGCATGCCTTTAATCCCAGCACTAGGGAGGCAGAGGCAGGTGGGTCTCTGTGAGTTCAGGGCCAGCCTGGTGTACATACTGAGTTCCAGGCCAGCTAGGGGTACAGGGGGACTTTGTTTCCAAAAGTCCAAAAAAAAAAAAAAAAATTACAAACCATTATTTTGATTGAATAACAGGATAGATCAAATTGTTTCGCATTCTGGGGATGGGGTGGCAATGTGGATTTTAAGTTAGAGTGACCTTGGTTATTTCCTTATACTAACATGATCTGAAAAAAATTGAAGGGATGTATGGTATTCTTTAAACATCTCCAACTGAAATGTACTTTATTAGTCAATGGAAAATGGGTTTTTTTTGTTATTGTTAATTATTTTTTTGAGGCAGCGTCTCACTGTGTAGACCAAGCTAGTCTCCAGCTGGTATAGATCCGCCTGCCTCTACCCCAAAGTGCTGGAGGCATGCACCACCACATCTAGCAACAAATATTTTTAATGATAGAATTTAACAAGTTTTATAATTCCACAACCATTTTGTGAAAACATTGTAATATCTTATAGCAGAAAGTCCTTACCTTGTGGTGACTTAATAAGTTTTCCAGAGCCCTGAATTGTGCTCTATGTGGAAAATTCAGTTAGGACATCTGCAGTATGCATCTTTTAAAAAATGAAATGTCATATAGAAATAGTATATGCAGGGCTCAGTTTCATGTACTGCAGCTATGCCATTTGGCTGAATGAAATAACCTCATTACCAACTTACAAGTCTTCATTTCTAGTTGATAACTGTGGATTGAGTCGATTCCCTGCATACATATATTTCTTGTTTGTGATCACTTTTGTACTCAGGATATAATCAGGTACCACTTTTATTTGACCAAGAGTTCTAGAATCCCTTTTCATATTCTTGGAAACTTTTTTATATTTTTTTATTTTGTGCGTGTGTGATAGGTGCACAGATGCCGTGGTGTGCATGTGGACGTAGTTCTACTTATACTGTCTGCATCCTTGGGATTGAACTCAGGTCATCAAGCTTGGTGGCATGCCCTTAAAGTTTTTTTCTATATTGAAGAAATTTTCTTAGGGTTGGAAGGGGAAAATCATGAAGATAAATCTGAGTGTTCCTCTAAATGTACTCTGAGAGGAAAACAATGAACTGATTTTATGTTTTTGTCAGAGAACTGCACCCCACTCTAGAAGGACAGTTGAAAGAATTCCGAAAGCATCTTGTGGAGAGCACCAATGAAATGGCACCTTTGAAAGTTTGGCAGCTGCAAGGTAATGGGAAATTGGTCACCACCTATTTTGACATTAAGTTTTATGGTATTAAAAAAAAAATTGCATGGTGGCATGCGCCTTTAAACCCAACATGGGGAGAGGCAGAGGCAGAGGGCAAGTGGATCTCTGTGCAATCAAGGCCAACCTGGTCTACGTAGTGAATTTCAGGCTAGCTGGGGCTACAGGGAGACCCTGTCTCAAAAAAAAATGATGGAGTGGGGAGCAGAATTTGGGCTGGAGAGGTAACTCAGTTGGTAGAGTGCTTACCAAGCCTGTATAAGCCTTGAGTTTCTCTTCCTAGCACCACATAACCCAGATGTTGTGTACACCTGCAAACCTAACACTTATGTCTGAGGCAGGAGGTTTGTCATTAGTTCTAGGCTTGTACTACAGAATGAAACCTTGGTGTGGGGGTTTGGGAAAGATACAGAATTTGAATTAAATTGGCTCTATCTACATGATTCTGAGAGTCCCACAAGTTTTAAAGATGAAATAGTTATAATTTATAAGAGAAGAAAAGAAGTCCTTTTGTGGCAGATAGCATTAGGTTGCAGATGCATGCAGAGCTTTCACTTTGGGATCAAATATATAAGCTTATGATACTAGAATTATGTGGATAGATTTTATGTTCCTTTATGTGTGTATATTTTAAATTTTTTAATGTTTTAATTTTAGTATTTTATTTTTTATGGTGTTGTGGGTTGAATCCTGCGCCTCATAAGCTGGGCATGCACTCTACCACTGAGCTATAAGCACAGTCCTATATGCATTTTAAAAATTAATTAATTTGGACTGGAGAGATGACTCATTGGTTAAGCGTACTGGCTGTTCCTGCAGAGGACCAGGTCCCAGTACCCACATGGCTGTTGACAACCATCTGTAACTCTAGTCCAGGGAATCTGATGCCCTCTCCTGACCTCTGAGAGCATTGTACAACACAGGCACACTTACATACATGCAGTCAATACACTCTTACACATAAAAGTAATAACTTTTAAAATTTATTATTTTAATTTTATGTGTATGAATGTAATGCCTACATGTGGGTAGGTGCACCCCTGTCTTGCAGTGCCCATGGAATCAGAAGAGGGTATCAGACCCCCTGGAACTGGAGTTATGGACAATTGTCAGCCACCATGTGGGTGCTGGGAATCAAACCCCAGTCCTTTACAAGATCACCCAGTGCTCTTATCTGCTGAGCCATCTCTCTAGCCCCAATAATAAAATATTTTTAAAATTTTATCATCATTGTGTAGCCGTTGGGAGGGGGACATGATGCCCATATGGAGGTCAGGGGACAACTTGCTGGTCCCTGCATTCAGTTTTTATACCATGTATCTGTAGAACATTGAAGGCATAGAGGTCGATTTCTTTGCAAATAACTATTCTCAAGGGATTTTTCCAGGGTAATTTGCTAAATATCTTAATCCTGTATTTTGTGATATATTGTAAATCCAGAAGAGGAACCAGGGTTTGGGCTCAAGTTTGCCTTTGTTAAATGTGTTATCATGTGTCCTAGGATTTTACAGATATAGATCACAAGTAACTTAGTAAAAACTCCAGTGCTCCATGAAGTGAATGAGATCAGAACTAAACCATGCATAATTTCTGTAATGGTTGCATTTTCAGGCATTCTTTATTCTAAAGAAAAGAGTGAGGTCTTTTGTTTTTTTTTTTGTTCCTTTCTGAGTGTCATTCCTTTAGATTCATGGGCTCTAACTTACACTTGGCATTGTTGCAGATCTCAGTTTCCAGACTGCTTCCCGAATCTTGGCAGCTCCTGTGGAGTTAGCTTTGGTGGTGATGAAGGATATTAGTCAGAATTTTCCTACCAAAGCCAGGTAATATAGACTAAGGTTTTAATACATTCCTCTTCTTAACATGATTCACAATTATTTTCTTGTTCACATAGCACGTGATATAATGAAAATATAAAAATGCTTAGAAAATAAAAGTTTCTGTTCATCTCCACTACTGTTTTGACTGGTGTCCTCTTTCTAAGATGACAAGCCCATCCATTGTGTGGTTGAGGAGAGAGATCCAGATGTTTTCCAGCACTACCACTTACTCATTGTGTGGCCTTTGGTGACGGAGCTCACTTTCCTCAGTAGTAGGGTGGGAATAGCCCTACTTGCCTTTCCAGCTGGCAGAGTTACAGAACGTAGCATGTGCCAGTGCAGCTAATCAATCTGATCCAGATCATACCTTCCTGAAGTAGCATATATCCATACCATCTTTTAACTCTTGATGGAGGGTTGGGACTCAGTGGTAGAACATGTGCCTTATATGCATGAGGTCCCAGGTTTGATTGCCAGTACTACTGAAAAAAAGAGAATCTTGATAAAGAAACTGAGAGGCTAAGTAACTTATTCATGGTGTCAGAATATTTTGAATTTTCTGACATTTCCTCTATTCTATAATGTTGTTCACTGTCCCATGAATGTAAGGAAATTTTTTTTTTAAAAAAACAAATTTTTAGAAATCACCACAGATATCATTGTCAGTCTTTGTTTTGAGTCACTGAATATAGTGCTTTGAGTTCTGATGTGAGATTTTTATAAATCAGTTCTTTCTTCACTGTGTAGGTACTAGTTAAGAGTTCTTAGTGTATCATGCCACTTGAAGATAACACCAGGAGGTTTCTTCCTCTACCAGAAAGGTTTAATGGGACTCTAGTCTGCTTCAAGTTTTTTAACACTGTCCTTTAGTTTATTAACAGTAGATGTCACATACAGGAATAGGGTTGCAGAGTCAGCTAAGAGCTTGGAAGCAAGCGTACTTGCTTTCAAGTGTTGCTATTATGCTACTTTTCTTTGGTGTTAATATCTTGCAATAATGAAAATGCATATGTTGACTGATTATTGTAGAGGTGTGAGGATTTGTCCATTCTTGTGTTTTGTAAATTTATTGAACTGTATGTTTCATGCTTAAAAATAAAGAAATTGAGAACATTTATATGAAATGCTACACTGAACACTGATCATATTTTTATTCCTTAGAGCAATAACGAAAACAGCTGTAAGTTCTCAACTTCGAGCTGAAGTGGAAGAGAATCAGAAGGTACTATTAACCACTGGAAAACAGAACTTTCTGTCCTATAGTATCGCTTTTAAAATGAAGAAATCTGAATTAAACTAGTGGCATTTAATAGCGTCACTCTGCTTTTATCAAAGTTGCTGACATTCCTTCAAAGAGAACAGTCCCCTGACTGTGGGGGTCAGCAGGAGGTCTGGGATCCTGCCTTAAGCAGTCTTTCCTGTCTTACCACTCTGCAGTGTGACTGGGTTTTTTATCCTCTCATTCCTGTCACCCAGCATTCAGCTCTCTGGAGACTGCAGGACAAGGCACTGCACACTCTTTTCCCTTCCACTTCAAAATATGTTGATCTTTTTTTATCTGTTCTTTGTGCCATTTGCATTCATAACGTCAAATGTTTTGTCTCTTCACATTTCAGTAGTTTTGAGGAGTTGGGAGATTCTTGTGTTCAAGTAATCATTTTACCTCCAGGTTTCTTTATGTATAGAGTGCTAGTTAACTAAATAGATATGAGAAACCAAGTATTTTTCACGTGTTGAGTAAACTAAAAAAACATTACTGGGCATAATGATACATGCCTGTAATCCCAGTAGTTGGGAGGGAGAGGCAGAATAATCAAAAGTTCAAGATCATTTTTGGCTGCATAGTGAGTGTGAGGCTACCTTGGGATATATGAGACTTGTTTCAAAAAAAAAAAAAAAAAAAACCCAACCTACTAATAGCTTGTATATTTAATTTCCAGAATAACAAGTATTTCTTTAATTTTAACCCCTCTCTCTCCTTCCATCAAGGAAAGCAGAACATAAAATTATGAGCACTGTATTGGTATTTCCTGAATTATTAATCTGTTTGAGAAAAACATTTTATCAAAAATGCATAAATATGAAACACAAAGTACAGAAAATCTTAAATGTAGTATGATGAGTTTTCTCAAAGTGAACCCCACTATGTTGTAGATTTACAAGTAGATGCAAACTATAATTATAAGCTTAGAGTTAGTCTTTCTTACCATGTCAGAGGTCCAAGTGAGTGGACATGGAAAATCTGTACAATATGGTAGGCAAGTGATGTGTGTGTGTGTGTGTGTGTGTGTGTGTGTGTGTGTGTGTGTGGTGGAACTCTGCTCTCCCATACAAAAAATCTAGTCCTTTGTTTTTTATTTGTGTGTGTGTGTGTGTGTGTGTGTGTGTGTGTGAGAGAGAGAGAGAGAGAGAGAGAGAGAGAGGTGTAAGTGTGGACACACATGTATCATGATGGAACTCTGCTCTCCCATCAAAGAAATCTAGTCCTTTATTTTTTATTTTAGTGTGTGTTTGTGTGTGTGTGTGAGAGAGAGAGAGATGTAAGTGTGAACACACATGCATCATGGCACACATGAAGATCAGATGACAACTTTTAGGTGCTGGTCGTTGCCTTCCGCCTTGTTGAGGCAAGGGTCTCTCTTGTTTCTGCTGCTACACTCTGTGCCCCAGGCTAGCTAGGCCTTGAGCTTCAAGGCAGTTCTATCTCCACCTCCCATCTCACTGTAGGAGTGCTGGTTTTGCAGATGTACACTATGACAGCTGGCTGTTTATGTGGATTTCAGGGATTGAACTCAGTTGGCAGACTTGCAGTACTAGTGTTTTTACCCACTGAGCCATCTCCCTGACCCAAAATTCCAGTTCTTAGTTTCTTTAACTCTCCATTATTTTCTTGTCTGTTTTTTATGTTATTGACAAATACATGTTTGTGGTACACAATATGTTTTGAAATATGTACACATTTTGGTGTTATCCTCCATCTTGTTTGCTATTTAATGTGGCTATGTCTGTGAAGCATGAGATAGCAGCTTCCCTATTGTTTTGTGTTTTCCCATGCAGTACTGGAACTTAAAAGTATACTTTCTCTAAGTCCTCTGCTTATTGAACAGTGAAGGCTGCTCCTCATTAGTAAGAGTTTAAGTTCTGATCCTTGTATCTGGTTAATGTCTTCTGTACTCTTCTGTGTGGTACGCCTCTCTGTGGTGTAGAATATACAAGGGTTCCAGTTCACTCTAAAAGAAGTATACATTAAGTAGAAGGATACTATTAAACAGAAATATCAGTATGGAGTCACAGCAGTATTTCCATTGGCTTTAACAGATCTTAGGCAGCACAGTTACCTGTGCATAAGACTACCACTATATTGGGAGTCAGTAGGTGAAGGACTCTACTGAGGCCTGGCATGGGCAAGCCCAAGGTACTGTTCTCACACAACAGCCCAGAGTTTCTTTGTGTGCTTCAGTTTGAAGGTTTAAGGGAGGCATAGTATTTAGAAACTTACCTTGTTTCAATCTCTAGACTTTATCAAGGGGACTATATGTTTTTGACTGCCATCACAGCCTTGGTTGGCATCACAAACAGGGAAAGTAACAGAAGCATAGAAAAGCACTGTTACCTGGCACTGGCAAGAAAAGGTAGGAAAATTCCAGCGCCTATGTAACTCAACAGCTAGTTAGACGGGAGACTCTGCCTATGACCCTTGATTATAGATAGCTTACTTCCTTCTGCCTTCAATATTAAGGAGATAATTTTATTTCTTTGGTTATAAACTTCTTTCTTTGTTACTAAGGTAATGAACAAATCCATTGGTATCCTGTGTAAGGTAGAATTATAAGCTTCAGTTCCTGATAGGCAGTTCAGAGAATTATTGGAAAAGGAACCCAAAAGAATAAAATATCTTAATGTATTATGGACCAGGAAGAAACATGTTGTTTTTTTTAATTAAGTAGAGATAATAGTTGTTCAATTAATCCTATTTATATTCCATTTCATATATGTGGTGTACATGCATGTGTATGTGTGTTTATGTTTGTGTGGGAGCACATTTGTATGTATGTCTGTGTGTATGGGTGTATGTGTATGCCAGAAGTTGATGTTGGGTGTCTTTCTGGATTGGTCTCTATTGACTGAGGCAATCCCTCACTGAACCCAGAGCCCATAGCTCTTAGTCTAGCTAAGCCAGCTTGCCTCCTGGATCACATCTCTGCTTTGGTAGCACTGAGATTACAGATGTGCTGTCATGCCCACCTGCCTGGCTTTTACATGGGTTCTGGGGATCTGAACTCCAGTCCTAACTCTTGGATGGCAAACACTTCATACCCCCAGCCATCTCCCAAGCTCCTCTCTTCTCATTTTGGATACATGATCCTTAGCAGTTGGTTTCTCCTGTGCCCAATATTATAGGAAATGGTTGTGTCATCTTCAAAGTGAAGGAAGGAGGAAAGGAAGAGGGGTGGATATCCAGTAAACCAGCATCTTCATTCACTACAGTGAATGCTCAGAAGGGCCTGTGAGAGAATAGAAGAGGGAATTTCAACCTGGCCTTTAGAATGTCAAGATTTGTTATAAAGCTCAGAAACAGAGAGCTTTGTTAAACACATTCTCACTGCTTTGTTTTTGTGTTTTTCAGTATTTCAAGGGAACTTTAGGATTACAGCCTGGAGATTCAGCTCTCTTCATCAATGGACTTCATATTGATTTAGATACACAGGACATTTTCAGGTATGGATAACATACATTTTTAAAAATTCTCTCTCATGCGCAAAGCTTGTGTTTTTCAAGGGTGTCTTTTTGGAGTTGCAGTTTTCCTTTTAACTGTAGAAACATCAAAAGAAGTAAGTTCTTTTGCTTCTGGGAAGCACGAAGTAATTTGAGTCACAGTGCTGTTGCTGGTTTCTGAGAAGGCTTTTTAGTACACATACACACACACAGACCATCTACACTAAATAAATAGGATCTGTGAGATGTCTCACAAGGTAGACACTTGCCACCTAACAGTACAAGCCTGACAACCTAAGTTTGATCCCTGTAATTGATATAAAGGTGGAAAGACAGAACCGAATCTACAAAGTTGTACTTCTGACTTCCACACACATGCCATGATGCACACACCCACACCTTCTACACAGAGACACATTACTTATGTATATGCTTCTAAAAACATATAAGCAAAACTTGTAGTGTAGGACTGGGAAGATGATTCAGCCAATAAAGTATCTGGCACATAAGCATGAGGACCTGAGTTCAGATTCCTAGCACCTGTGTAAAATGCTAGGTTTTGTGGCACTCACCTATAATCCTAGTGCTGGGGAGATGGAGGCACAGGATCCCTGGGGCTTTCTGGCCCGCTAGTGTAGCCAAATCACTGTGCTTCATGTTCAGGGAGAGACTCTGCCTTAAAAAATAAGGTGAAAGCCGGGCATAGTAGCGCACACCTTTAATCCCAGCACTCCACTCGGGAGGCAGAGGCAGGCAGATCTCCATAGTAAGTTCCAGGACAGCTGGGGCTACAGGGAGACCCTGTCTCAAAAAGACCAAAAAAAAAAAAAGTAAGGTGGAAAGCAATAGAAGATACCTGATACCTGATATCAACCTTTGGCTTCCATACTCACACAGGCATACACATTTACCACACATATAGACTCCCTCACCCCCAATTAATACAGTATAAAGTATAAATTCTTTATACTTAGAGGTGATTTATTCTTTATACTTAGAGGTAATCTAAGTTTATACTTGGAGAGTATCTGCTTATAGCCTGAGAATTTAAATAAATGGGACCAGTAAGTCACTGTCCTGACAAGATGACAAGGGGAGAAGCTCCATTTTGGTTCTTTGATTGATTGATTTGCTGGCATTGAGTTTGAACTAGTGAGACTTTAAGTTTTGTTTTGTTTTGTTTTTTTCTCTCTACTAAATAGTGTGTGTGTGTGTGTGTGTGTGTGTGTGTGTGTGTGTGTGTTGGGGATTAAATCCAGGGCCTCGAACATTCTAGGCAAGTGCTCTACCGTGTAGTTATTCTCCATCCTTCATCTAAATACCTTCCCCCACCACCCCCAGTCTGTTTGATATATTGAGGAATGAAGCCCGGGTAATGGAGGGTCTGCACCGACTAGGAATAGAAGGCCTTTCTCTGCATAATATTCTGAAGCTGAACATCCAGCCCTCTGAGGCTGACTATGCTGTAGACATCAGGAGTCCTGCTATTTCGGTGAGTATTCCTTTTGGGTAGTCCACAGGCATTCTGGCCAGACATCTTACAGCTTTCTAATTCGTCTTTGATCACAGATTTACAACTGCATACATGGGACTCTGTGTATGTGATAGGTTTTAAATACTCCAAAAAATTGTTTTTCTGGCCAGTGTGATTAAGAAGTACTCTTTCCTCTGTGGTGTAACCCTAGAATTCAGCTAAGCATCTTGGGAAAAAAATATTTCATATTTCCCTTGTATACAGGTCTTGTGTGACTGTAATAACATGCATAATTTAAAACTACTATAAAATATGTATTTCTAACTAATAACCTTATTTTAAAGGACTTTATTATCTGCTACAGGATCTCTGTACCTCTGTCATCTGTAAAGAGAATGTAGGGAATCTTGGCACCCCAAGTCTTTTTTCTTGGTTTCTCAATCCTGCACTTATTTTAGAGAAATTTTGTTGAAAGAGAAATTATGTACACTGATCAGATGTGTCCAACCTATAGACTAAGCTGAATGCATCCCAGGATAGCTGTGAATGTAGCCCAACACATTTATAGACTGATATCAAAAGTTTGAACCTGCCTGTGTGTAGATCATCTTTACTTGAGTTCTCACTTGATATATGTTGAATGCTGTTTGTTTTTCTGACAAGTTGGTTTGACTTACAAAGAATAAACAACATGGAGTAACAACCATATGGCTTATCCCCATTCTACTAAATAATTAATTGTTTGAGAATCACTGTTTTCTTAGGGGAAAAATATTTCAGTTGAAGCTCTGTATTCCTTGTTACACCTCTCTCCTTCTTACAGGCAATTCTTTGTTGAAATTAGTATATAGTCCTCTGTCCCTCATTTATTCCCTTTATTTCCTGTTAAGTGTTTTTTAATATTTGCAGTCCAGTGTTCTGTTGGTATCTCATATTGACTTCCTTTTCGTTCCATGACCCCAATTTCATTTTTATGTTAACCACTTCTTATGGCACCATTTTCTACATTCTCTTTACAGATGAGAAAAGCTCAGAAAGATCATATAGCAAATAATAAAGTCCTTTTAAAGCAGATGAGTAAAAAACATTTTAAAAGTAGTTTTAAATTAAGCATATGAAATGGCACAAGACCTTCCTATTTTATTCAAGTTTTCCAAGACTTTTGCAGGAGATATTACAGTTTATCAGATGTGGAGTACTTAGTGGTACTAAGAAATCTTAAGCTTTATTAGATCTATTAGACTACAATGAGTGTTCCAGACACCAACATTGTGTGAAGGCTCCTGTTGCTGTGTTTTATAACATTTTCATTTTTGGGTCTTTTGAGACAGAGTCTCCCAGTTTCCACAGCTGGCCTGGAACTCACTATGGAAACCAAGGATCTCATAGAGATCTACCTGTCTCTGCCTTCTGAGTGCTGGAATTAAAGGTGTGTACCACCACGCCCAGCCCCTTTTTATTTATTTTTAAAAGATCATTTTCATGGTGTGATGGTGCAGGCCTTTAATCCGAGCACCTGGGAGGCAGAGGAAGGCGGATCTCTGTGAGGTTGAGGCTAGCCTGGTTTACATAGCAGGTTCCAGGACAGTTGGGTCTGCAGGGAGCCCCTGTCTCAAAAAGACCGAAAAAAAAAAAAAAATCATTGGTACTTTCATAACTGAAAATTTAAGATGTATAAAAGGTATATAGTGGAAGTCTTGTCACACAGCCATCACTTTCCTCCCAGAAGCAACAAATGTGAGCAGTTGCTTGTGTGTCCTTCTAGAATACTCTATACATACATGAGTAAGAAAATACCCACATTCTTCTCCCTCTACCTTTTTTACAAACAATAGGTACTTATCTGTTCTCTCTATGGACATGAAGTTGTTTGTTTTCTTACTGTTGTTGGTAGTGTTATATTGGGTCCTTATGCATTCAGGTGAGAATGCTTCTGGAGTATTTAGTGGTTCTAGTCATGTTTTCAGCTTTATTAGGCCCGTTTCTCTAAAATGAGTGTTACAAACACCTGCATTGGGTAAGTGTTCCCATATGGCTCTGTACTTTTGCCTAGACTTGGATATTGACAAATTTAAATTTACCTAATTTATTGAGTGTGAAGTTTCCTTGTGGTTTAGTTTAAACTAACATTCCATAGATTATGATTGAGGGTGTATGTCTTTCTTATGTTTATCCACCACTTGGGTTTCCTCTGAAGACTTGCTCTTGTCTCATTTCTTGTGGTTTGCTTGCTTGTCTTTTTTTAAATTGACATTTCTTGCTACTGGTCTTTCATTGGTTTTGTTAATCATAAATAGCTTCATCTATTTATTGCTTACATTGCTTACATTCATTTTTCTACTCAATCTTTGTATATTCAAAAATAACCTTGTCTTTTTTGTTTGCTTGTTTGCTGGAGACAAGGGCTCATATTGTCCAGGATGGCTTCAAACTCTTTGTAGCTATGGCTGGTCTTGAACACCTGATTCTCCTGCCTGTACCTTCTGAGTTCTGAGACTATGGGCAGTATTACCATACCCATTCCTATGTGCTTCCTAAAGTCTTATTGTTATTAGTGGTCATTTTTCAGTGATGACTAATGTGTATGTACCATGTTTTGTTATTTATTTTTTTCAAGTGGGTCAACAACCTGGAGGTTGATAGCAGATATAATTCATGGCCTTCTAGCCTACAAGAATTGCTTCGACCCACTTTTCCTGGTGTTATACGGCAGATCAGGAAAAACTTGCATAATATGGTGAGTAAAACTTCTCCCTCTCATCTGCGTGTAACTATTTCTCTTAGCTCTGACACCTACTTTACTAGTTGTTTCTGCCCACTGCCACCACCAGCTGTATCACTGTGTTGAGGATATACCCACAACCATAACTGAAGGGTTGTTTTTGTTTTGTTTTGTTTTGTTTTTGGTCTTTTTGAGACAGGGTTTCCCTGTAGCCCCAGCTATTCTGGAACTCACTAGGTAGACCAGGCTGGCCTTGAACTCACAGAGATCCACCTTCCTCTGCCTCCCAAGTGCTGGGATTAAAGGCATGCACCACCATGCCCGGCCCATAACTGAAGGTTTATGCTGGGACATTATACATTTGTTTCTTGGTTTTATGTTTTAAGACTTTGTTTTTTCCAGAGCAGTTTTACAGTTCTAGCAGTCCTGTGGAAGTTTTAAGACAGTTCTTTTCACTCAGAAGATATATATGACTACTGCTTTTCTTTATGTCTTGTTTGTGTATATTAATATGCTTCCTTTTATTTCAAGTTACATGAGTTATTACTTATTGGCTCAGATTGTTTTTTCTTAAAAATAAAGAAAAGAAAGGAACATAAATCAGTGGGATTTTTTTTTTAAAAAACATTGTTTGAGAAATCAGTGAATCAATATCTGGTTCAATGGAAGTAGTTGTAATCCTCAGTGAGTTCTCAAGGTGGTCATGAGCTATTTTGATACTAATTTTACTCTTGGTGTTCTTCGTTCTTTTTCTTTTAATTAGAGTTACTTACAGGGGCACAGGTGAAGGGTTATTATAGGAGTATTAGTGAAGGGTTATTTACAGCATTGCATTGAATACATACATGGCATTTCATACACACGGGGTCTATGAGGTCAGAAGAGGACATAAGATCCCCTGGAACTGGAGTTATTGATGATTGTTAGCCAGCATGTGTGTGCTGAGCAGCCAGTGCTCTTAACTGGGGAGCCATCTCCCAACTCTTCTCTTTAATAACTTAACCCCTCAAATTTAGTAACCTAATCCCTTAACTAAGCCTTTCTAGCTGGGCGTGGTGGCACACACCTCTGATCTCAGTACTTGGGAGGCAGAAATAGACAGATTTCTGTGAGATCCAGGCCAGCCTGGTCTACATAGCAAGTTCTAGTCCAGCAGAGGTTGTGGGGAGAGCCTGTCTTTAAAAACAACAACAAAAAGCCTTTTTATTAGCGCCTACTACCTATTATTCCTCATCTCCCTACTGTAGAGACTTGGAGAAAGGTTCTAAGCTGACCTTATTTCCCCTGACAGTTCTGTCTCTTCTCTCTTCCAACTGCAGAGGAGATGGGGCTGGTTAGAGACAAGGTCAGTTTAAAACTTGCATAGGAAACAACCCTCTGTACTTTTCTCTTATTTTAATTTTTTATTACATATATTTATTCTTTATGTGTGTATGCATGTGTGTAGGTATGCACATGCCATAGCACATGTTTGGAAGTCAGAGGACAACCTGTGAAAGTTGGTTCTCTCCTTCCATTATGTGGGTCCCAGAGATTGAACTCAAACCAACAGACATGGCAGCAAGTGCCCTTATCCACTAAGCCAACCTTTTAGTTTTCTTAGTCTTGAAATCACCTTTTTCCTTTCAAAACTTGGTCTGTTTCTCACCACATAGGTAAACTTTATTGGGATTTTTTGTTTGTTTGTTTGTTTGTTTGTTTGTCAGTTTTGTTTTGTTGAGACAAGGTCTCTCTATAGCCCCAGCTGGAACTGGAACTCACAGAAATCCTCTTGCTTCTTCCTCCCAAGTGCTGGGATTAAAGGTGTACACCACTCCTGGCACTATGTCTTTAATTTTAATTTTTTGCTTTTTAAAAAAAAAAAACAAACAAAAATAAGGTCTCATATATTCCAGGCTGGCTTTTCGTTGCTATATAGCTGGGGATAACCTTGAACTTCTTATCCCTCTACCTCCATCTCCCAAATGCTGAAATTACAGGCACATACCCACTATGCCTAGTTTTTAGTGGTTTATAGAGATCAGACCTAAGGCTTCAGGAAGGCTTGGTGAGCGTTCTTCCTACCAACAGATTCACATCCTCAGTCTCAGGTAGCTTCATTATATGAAAGAATATATACAAACTGCTTAGCATATAATAAGAGCTTCATACACGATAGCTATTGCTGTGATTTAAGAGTTAAATTCTAGGGGCCAGAGAGATGGCTCAGCAGTTAAAGAGTACTGGCTGCTCTTGCAGAGGATCTAGCACACACATGGCAACTAGCAACCATTTGTAACTCCAGTTTTGGGGATCCAACACCCTCTTCTGACTTGTGAGGGCGCTGCACGACATGGGTATACTTACATACATGCAGGCAATACACTCATACACATAAAATAATATTTTTTTAAAAATTAAAAAGAGTTGAATTCTAAAGGAATTCTTAATTTAGATATCCTTAGAAATACCAAAAAGGCAAGTTCTGTTTTCTAAGGTGGGAGAGCTGATAAAACTTTAGTTTTGTTTGGTGTGATAGAGCAGGCATCAGCAATCTGGGATACACTTGGATGTTACCAGCAGAAATCCCTAAAAAAAGTGACTTTCCTCCTACCACATTCTTTGAACATAGAGGAAGGTAGCTGCTGTTTTCATAACCCATTTTTATATGGTTTGATAGTATTTTGAAAAAAGTTGGCTTCACATGTGATAATTAATGTCATTTCTATTGGCCCAGGAATGTTTGAATAAATGTCATTTCATGGGTTCTTTTTCTTGTTGTTCTGACAGGTTTTCATAGTTGATCCTGTACATGAGACCACAGCAGAGCTGATTAACATAGCTGAGATGTTTCTCAGCAATCATATACCACTAAGGTAACACTGGGATTGATTTGATAAAATAGCTCGTTCAGCTGAGGTTTAGTTTGTCATTCAGAATTACATGTCTGGTTTCACTGAATTGTAGTATAATTAATAAGATCACTAATGGCAGTTTTATCTTCTCCTTGGTACAAATCCAGGGTCTTTTGGGACTGAGAATTTAATTATCAATGAATAGAAGCTTACCATCATTGAATTATTAATTACTAGCCCATGTAAAAATGGCTTGTGGTTTTTGCTTGTTTCCTATTGGAAGGAAGTCTTCCTGGGTACACACCCGTACCACAAAGACTGTTTCTGATTTCAGTAGAGATAGGGAGCCTTGCCAGTGGCTGTTAGACTGTAAAGGACTAAATGCTTTGGACTCTTGCACAGCTTTCTGTAAATATGGACAGGTACATCTGTGTAAGTTGTATTGCCGTATCTATCAACTGAACACCAAGTGGCTGGATTTCCACTGTTCTTTCATGGATAATACTTGTACAGTTTTACGTATAAGTGTTAAAAGATATTTCTATGTACATTCTGGAATAATTCTGGTAATTTTACATATGGGTGGAATTTGAATTCTTACAAATGAAGAAACTAAAGAACTCTTAAACAATCTAGCATTATTATGTGTTCACTACCCAGCACTGACCAGACTCCAGGCCCCATGCTCAGGTTCTTTAGCCCATTTAATAATGTCATTGTTTAATGTTGAGTTTTAGGAATCATTTTCATGTTTTGAATGCCAGTCTTTGTCAGATGGATGTTTTGCAAAGATTTCTGCTAGTCTGTGGCTTTTCGTTTCCTTTCCTTACTAGCTTTTTTCTTTTTCCCAAAGTAGAAGTTTTAAACTTTAATGAAGTCCACCTTCACAATTGTTTCATAAATTGTGTCTGTGTCTGTGTGTGTATACCTGTGTGTGCATGGGTTCATGCATATATTTGTGTGCATGAAGTGGCCAGAGGTTGATGTTAGGTGTCACCCTCAGTCGCCTACCACTATACCTTTTGAGACAAGGTCTCACTGAATCTGGAGCACACAAATTGGCTAGTCTGGCTAGCCAGCGGACCCAGCCAGGACCCTTCTGTTTCCACCTCCCAACACTGAGGATACAGGCATGTACCCCCATATCTGGCTTATTTTACATGGGTGGTGGGGATCCAAATTCAGGTCATTGTGCTTGTATAGCAAGGGCTTTATCCAGTAAGCCATCTTCCTGAACTGGATCGTGGGTTTTTTTGGATCTAACTTGTCATTGGCCAAAAATAAAACCACCTATTTTTCCCTCTGCCATCTTCTAGGAGTTTTATAGTTTTACTTTTTCCATTTTGTTTTGTGGTACATTTTGTGTTAATTTTTGTGGAGGGTAAAATTTGTACTAGAGTCATTATTTTGTAGTGGATGTCTAGTTGTTCCAGCACCATTTGTTGGCATGACTCCACTGAATTGCTCTTGCTCCAAATGTAGACCAGGAGCAAGGCACCTGCACTTGCAAGTGAAAGTCTTCATACCAACCCATCTATATATGTTAATGTGATCCCTTTGTCGATAGAACTTTTTGACTTAGGATGTTGTTTTTTTTTGTTTTTTTGTCTTTTTGAGGCAGGGTCTCCCTGTAGCCCCAGCTGCCCTAGAACTCACTCTGTAGACCAGGGTGGCCTTGAACTCTTAGAGATTAGCCTGCCTCTGCCTCCTGAGTGGGATTAAAGGTGTATGTCACCACACCCGGCTGATGATTGTATTTTTTATTCTGCTTTCCTTTTATATGTAGTCCTCACATTGCCTGCGTTGTTCAAAATTTTTCATGTTCCCTGTATTTCTGGGATTTAAATTTTTTACATTAGTTATTTAATGTGTGGTGTGTGTGTATGTATTGTGTGTGTCTGTGTGCTTATCTATATCTGCACCACATGCATACAGTACTCACAAAGGCCAGAAGAGGGCATCAGATTCCCTGGAAATGGAGTTGCACACAGTTGTGAAATGCTTGATGTGGGTGTTGAGAACCAAACCTCAGTCTCCTGTAAGAGCAGCTAGTCGTCTTAACCCTTGAGCCATTTCTCTAGCCCCCAAATTTCTATTTAAAGGCAGAAGAAAATTTCTACATACTGCACTTTTCTTATCAATGAAAATCTATTCAAGATTGAAACAGCTTACCTTAGCTGTAGAAGAACCTAACTTGCTTTGAACTTTGTAAATGATGTATGTATACTTTTCCAGCTTTGTTAGGGTGGGATGTGAGCTGTTCTTTCTTAGCGGTGGCTGTCTTCTGTTCCCCATAATATATGAGGAGACAGCAAAGGTGCCACCCCTCTTTAGCTATTTGCACTCTTTGAGATTGTCTTTTCTTCTCCCCCCTCTGCAGGATTGGTTTTATCTTTGTGGTCGATGACTCTGAAGATGTTGATGGGATGCAAAATGCTGGAGTGGCTGTTTTGAGAGCATATAATTATGTTGTCCAAGAAGTGGATGCTTACCATGCCTTCCAGACTCTCACACATGTATGTTTTTGTTCAAAATGGCAAATCACTTTTAAAAAATTTAACTTACCATGGGGCTGGAGAGGTGGCTCAGTAGTTAAGAACACTGGCTGCTCTTACAGAGGACCCAGGTTCAGTTCCCAGCATCTACATGGCAGTTAACAACTGTTCATAACTTCAGTTTCAAGGTATCCAATACCCTCTTCTGTCCTCTACAGGCATTAAACACATCTTCTGCAATTACAATACCTGCACACAGAGCACTCGTAGAAATAAATAAAATATTTTTTTTAATTTGACTTATTGTGAAACAGTTTTCAATAGGTGTATTCTGTACTTCTTCAAGAGAAAAAGTAAATTATTCACATATAGTCTGTGTTTATATTTCAGGGTTGCTTTTACTTTATTGGTTTGTGGATAGGAATATAATAGATTGCTATAATCTCAGCTAAGATGAGGGGTTTTTTTATTTTTTAATTTTATTATTACTGTGTATATGATTGTGCATGTTATAGCTTATATGTGGAGGGTAGAAAACAACCTTCTGAGTCAGTTCTTTCCTGCCATGGGATCTGGGGATCAGACTTTGGTTATGAGACTTTTTCAGCAAGTGTCTTTATTTTGAGCCATGGTGCTGGCCCCTAGATGCGATTCTTTAGGAACCAGGTGAGTCTTTTGCCCTTTGGTGATTTGAAATCACTAGTTAACACCTTTGAGCAATGGATGTTCTCTACTTATTCTAAAAGTAATTCACTTTTTTCTTCTTTGAGACTATTGATGATTTTTCCCCCCTTTGGTGGGGGAAGGGGACAATCTCAGAATGCTGGCCTTGAACTCGTGTAGGTGAGGATGGCCTTGAACTCCTAATTTTGCCTCAGGCTCTCAGGTGCTGGGATTATAGGCAAGCTCCACTATACCTGGCTTCTGGTATTACTGGGTTTTTTTGGCGGGGGGGTGCCTTTTTAAAAAAAATTTTATTGTTACTATTTTGCTTCTGGTATTTCTTAATTTTTTTTAATTTGGCATGTAATATGTTTATTTGCTGATTGGTTCATTGTAAGAAATGTTTAGCTGGATATGGTAGCATATATGTTTAGTCCCAGCACTGGGGTGACAGAGGCAGGTAGAGCTCTGCAAGTTGGAATCTAGCCTGATCTATATAGTAAGTTCCAGGCCAGCCAGGGCTACATAGTGAGACCCCAGCTGAAAAAATAAATCTTTAGTTTCTCATCAAAAGGCATTTTAATAACAGACGTTTCAAAATTTGGGTTTAGAAGTATAGTTGGGGGGCTGGAGAGATGATTCAGTGGTTAAGAACAGTGACTGTTCTTGCAGAAGACCTGGGTTCGAATTCCAGCACACACGTGGCAACTGACAACTGTCTGTAACTCCAGTTCCAGGGGATCCAACAGCCTCTTCTGTCCTCTGCAGGCATTGCACGACACGGGTGCACTTACATACATGCAGGCAGTACACACACACACACACATAAAATTAAAGTAAATAAAACATTTAAGAAAAAAAAAGTGTAGTTGGTTACCCTGTTTTTCTTTCTTCAGATCTATAACAAGGTAAGGACTGGAGAAAAAGTGAAAGTTGAACATGTGGTCAGTGTTCTGGAGAAGAAATATCCATATGTAGAAGTGAATAGCATCCTGGGGATTGATTCTACTTACGATCAGAATCGGAAGGTAAAACATTCTTTGGTGCTTTTGGTATTTGCATATTAACTTTTAAATTGGAAAACAGTTGCTTTTTCATAACATTAGTCATGCTTAATTCTGAATAAAATCTATTTGAAGTATAGAGCTAGAAGATGATGTATGGCCTATCATATATCATACTGGCCTTATTTAATTATTTAGGCTAAAAATGGAGCTGTTTTAGGAAATGTAATAACCAGACCCAGTGAGATAACCTGTGGATAAAGGTGCTTGCTGTTCCTGCCTGGTGATCTGAGTTTAATCCCCCAAATCCATGTAAAGGTGGAAGAAAAGAACCAACTCCATAAAGTTATCCTCTGGCCTCCACGTTTGCATCATGGCACACATGCATGCACACACACGAGCGTTTGCACGTGCACACAAACATACACAATGATAATAGATTTTTTTAGATGCTCTCACTGTGTATACCTGGCTGGTCTGAAACTAGGCTGACCTCGAACTTAGAGAGTTCTACTTGCCTCTGCCTCCTGGAATGCTGGGATTAAAGGTATGAGCCACCATGTCTGGCTCAAAAACTTCTTTTAATTGTTAAAAAAAGAAATGTAAGAGCTGGAGAGATGGCTCAGCAGTTAAGAGCACTGGCTGCTCTTGCAAAAGACCCAGGTTCGATTCCCAGCACCCACATAGTGGCTAACAACCATCTATAACTCCAGTTCCAGGGGATCTGACACCCTCTTCTGACCTCTGTGGGCACTGCACAACACAAGTGCACCCACCTAAATGCAGGGAATGCACTAATAGACATAAAATAAAAATAATAAATACTAAAAAAAAGATGTAGTGGGCTGGAGATGCCTCGGTGGTTAAGAACACTGGCTACTCTTGCAGAGGATCCAGTTTCAAATTCCAGTGCCCACATGGTAGCTAAAAAACATAACTCCGGTTCCAGGAGCTCTGACCTCCTCTTCTGGTGCACTTATGACATGCAGGTATAACACTCATACACATTAAATAGTTTTATTTTTTTTTTAAGGTAACTTCACATGTATAATTAATACACATTGGCTTTTGAAATACAGTATTTAAGTTTCTTTTTTTTAATATTCAAATTTTTTTAAAACTTTAAAAAAGATCTCCATTTCATTATTAAAAATTACTAGTCACAGTCGGTTACTTTCTGAGCTCCTTGGCTTCTGAGCATGGATATAAAGTCGTCAGGCAGATTTCTATGGTAATGTTTTTCACGTCTACTAATTATTAAGGAGAAAATTTTTATGCTTTGAAGAATTATTTTTTTTCTTTTTTTTTAAATTTATTTATATACCCACTTTCCAGGTAGCACCCTCCCATAGCCTCCCTCCCCCCACTAGAGCCCTTATACTCTGATATCCCTGCTGCTGTCTACTCTGTTGTCGCCACCCCCAGCCATTCCCCACTACTTGCCCTTCTGGTGAATCTAGTCAGCCTGTCTATCTAGAGGTCTTTGTTTTAGGAGGGTCAGCTGTTCCTCATCTAGCAGTAATCAGTTGTCTATATTCCTTTGGATAAGATTGGGGTCTGCTGTTCATTTTCCCAGTTCTATGCTGGGTTACTATCTGGGAATCCCTTTGACCACCCTGGCCATCAGCTCAAAAGAAGGTGTATCGCTTGTCTGTCATTGTTGCTTGTTATGTAGCCTTTAGCTGCACATATGGACTCTTATGAAATTATGTTGGCACGTTTAATCTTTAGTTATACTTTCCTTTTGGGTGTTTAAGTCCAGACATAACTACAGGAACTAGGATAATGGAAAGGAAACAGGGAGGTAAAGGAAAAGAAATAACCTGAAAGAGAAGAACAGTAGGAA